AATCTGGCCTGGTAAATGTGAAAAATCTCCAATCTGCTACGGAATGTCTCATTAGTCGCCTCTCAATACTGCGATGGATCTAAGTCACAGCAGGGGGTCCCACTTAGTCGCCTCTATTATGTGCCTCTATTGGTTTGCAGGAATTATGCATGTAATTATCAAATAAGTGAGTGCAGGAGGAATAAGTAGATAAAATGGCTAAGATACTGTATAAATCTGCAAAATAAATCTGACAACGGCTGTTGGTCACACACACTGACATGAAGCAGCAGGCAGGCGAGATAGCAGACCAACTGTGCAATAATGAATCATTAGGTCAAATGCCCCCTGGAAGGAAAACGAGCGGATGGCAACCGCCTATCGTTCGTTCATACCTCGAGGGTAGCGGGTTTGTAGATTGGTGATCCAAAACCGTTCTCTCGTACGTCGTCTCGTTTCATCCCATGTAGGGCAATGATCTATGGCAACAACCTGCATGTCTTTCCAACTATGGCTAGGCATATTAAAATGCCTTGCCACAGGGAAGTCTGGTTTGTTCTGCTTGATGGAGCAGCGGTGGTTGTTGATCCTGACATTGAGCTGGGTGCAGGTCTCGCCCACGTACTGTAACTTGCATTTATTGCAGGTAATAAGGTACACCACATTGACTGATGTGCATGTCAGTGTTTGTAGTATGTGATACACTTTGCCGTTGATTGTACATCGAAATGTATCTGTGGAGCGCGTGTATGGACACAGTTTGCACACCTTCTTGTTACATGTATTGAAAGAGCTTTTCGCCGCAGCAGGGTCTTGCTGCTTACCACAAGATCTCTAATGTGTTTAGGTCTACGATATGCCAGTATAGAAGACTCTGGAAAGATCTGCCGAAGTTTCGCTGAAGATTTGATGATGCGCCAGTGCTTTTTCAAGATAGATGGAAGTGGCGGCATGTCTGGGTGGAACATGACTACAAAAGGTACCCTTTGTGTATGGGGTCTGACTTTGTATACAAGCAGACTTGCCCTGTCCAGTACCCTCACTTTGTCTATTTCCCGATCTATCAAAGTAGATTTGTATTCTCTGCCAAGAAGATGGGACTTTAACTCTATGCTATGTATCTTTCGATAGTGTATGCTGTTTTCAGTTTACTGATTAGAGTAGGTAGGTAAAGCTCTTTGCAAAAACACCATTGACAATATATGTAGTGTTTCATATTTATAATTATGACATTTTCTGCCCTGTTATTCAGATTTTGATTTTGTGTTATTTTCCCAAAAATAAAATATTTTTTAAATATATTAAAAGTCACATTACAAGTAGTTTGGATTCAAATTTGGAAAGCAAGAATAACATGTTGGACTTTATTACATTGCCATAGTACAGGCTGAATAGTTTCTTCTTCTATGAAGCAAAAATTACACATATCAGACTGAACCAAATTAATCTTTTTCAAAAAGGTGTTTGTAACTAAAATGTGATGATTCATTCTAAATTGCAGCCATTGTAATTTAGAATTTGTATTAGTGTCAAAAGGTAGTTTGTATATTTTCTTCCAATCCTCACTTGGTATATTTCCATATACATTTTCCAACTTTATTTGACCAGTAGGCACTACACTATTTTTGTTCAGCACATTGTACATATCCTTTGTACCTTTTTACGTTTGATAATTATATTAATATACAGTGGTATCAATGTTAGTGTAAGCTTTTTCTCAAAAGTCCAGCCTAATTTTCTTATTGCAAAAATGAGACCATTATAATCAATAAAGTTAGTATTTAAATTAAAAATATCATTAAACTCATTATGTTGAAGGAAACTGCCATCTTCCTTAATAAGATCATTTATGAAAAACACACCTTTATCAAACCATCGTTTATAAAACACAGTAGTATTGCCTATTTTGATTAAGTCATTATACCAAATAGGTAAAGATAATACTTCATCTGGCTGAGATATATCAATTTTCCCCCTTAATGTATTCCATGCATGAAGAACATCAATCCAAAATGTGTTATGAAGTATATTTTTGATAACATAATCAATATATTTATTACCTAAAGTTAACAGTTTATTTTTATTTATTTTTTCAAACAGTAGGGTTTGCCAATTTGACGTCTTAAGACAAATATTTTTTATCCATGTTGATTTTAGAGCCATTTCAAAATGTTTGATATTAATCATTTTCAAACCACCTTCTTCATACTGTTTGACGATGACATCTCCTTTTACTTAATACTAATTAGCTATTGGACTTCCCCATAGGTATTCATAAAACAACTTTTGAATTTCTATCATAATATTTTGGTTAGGAGAATCCTATGAATAAATGTGTTAGTATTGGTAAAAGTAGAGATTTTATTACAGTAATCCTGCCTATCGAAGTTAATACTGTCTATTCCACTGTTTAATTAATGACTTTAGTTTCGTAATTTTTTCTTTGAAATTGAATTGAACTATTTTAGTAAGGTCCACATCAAAGTGAATACCTAACAGATTAAAATGTGTTGAGTCCCATGATAGAGCAAGATTATTGACTAATTATTCTGTACTATACTTTTTACTCCCTATCCATATTAATTAATGAACAGGGACCTTAGTATACGTCCCTGGTTTGAACAAGTTCAGTGTTGAAAAAGATGTTCATTGTTATAGGATGATATTTCATTGGCATTTTATAAAAAAAATCCTACACCGAGAGGGAAGTACATTTATATAAAATATATTCATGTTTGGTTAATGAACGTGCAATGAATATAATTCTGGTAAACGTAAGCCGTCTTTTATGAGAAATAATGATTTTTCGATGATGTGCATTCTTTTCGGTTAAAAAAGGTTAGATTTGGTATATATGATACATAGTACATTGTACATCTTGTAAATGTGCCATGTTCAGCATTCTATCTTTTTTCGAAACATCTTTTTTGTATTTGTAGCTACAATGGCGGTTTGGTGACACCAGTAATGGTCCCCATAACAATATCTGGGCTAGGTGATTGGATGTCGCTGATCGTTATATGTTGAGGCCCGGATAATGTGCGGAGTAAAACAAAATGTCTTCCTTCGTTCATTGTGTTTCTATGTCATTTATTCAACTAATTAACATAATATATCATATACACCAGTGTATGTTGATCCGAACATTTAAAATATACACGACAAGTGGTAATTGTACTGTTTATATATATATATATATTATAGACCAATACAATACAAAACGTAACCTATTTATATACATTTGTATATGGATAGCCGATTTATCTGCTTGGTTAAGAAGGGGCCGTTGGCCAAGTGGTTAATGCGTCTGACATTCTGCTCCACCAATGGGTCGCGGGTTCGAGACCTACGTGGAGCAGTCGTCAGGTCCTGGCCATAGGTCGGTGGGTTTTCACGGGGAACTCCGCCTTTCCTCAACAAAACCTGGCACGTCCTTAAATGACCATAACTGTTGATAGGACGTAAAACACAAACAAATCAAAACTTCTTGGTTAAATAGGGTCAAGCTATGTAACACCTACCAGTGATTCTAATGCAATATTTCAAAGGATTGTTTTACAGGATATTTCCTTTTGTAATAGACTCTATAAGTATACCACAGGGAATAGACCACTTTATTTAAAAAGGATGCGTCACAAAAGATGACATTCCAATCGTCCCAAAAAATAACTCAATTTATTTGGGTAAACGTACCGCCCAATCAAAACCTTTAAACGACCCATACAATTTCGGTCCTGGGACGTAAAACATAATCGCAATGTTCATTTTGTATCCTAGCCAAAATAAGTTCAGTTACAACCGCAATTGTCTCAGAAAATCAGAGGCCAGTGTCACACTACACTTGTACTGTACCTAGTACAAAATCTGAAGGAAATTTCAAAAGAGAATCTTTATCAATTTTCGACCAATTAGAAGGGTCATGAAGTTTCCACGGTAAATGATAAGTGAGGTTCAATCATTACATGTTCAAATAATCAAATAATCAGGAATTGTTTTTCTTTAATTTAGTTCGAGAATTTTTTTGTAGCCCCAGTGCATAAATTATCGAGAAGAATAACATGTACAACAAACGGTATATGTAATAGGTACCATTCCAGAAGTCACTGAAAATACCTCTATACAATCATAAACGAAAGGGGGAGGGAGGGGAACCATGGCGTAAACTTAGATTAAGTAGAATAAGAATGCTATTGTTGAAAACACAGAAAAAGCAATACATCTGGTGTACATGACACGATAGCTAACATTGAATGTAATTTGGACAATTTAAGAAGATCCCCAAACTGTCCAGTAGCCGCAAAGGACACATCGCGAAAGGCACAGTGCCGCAATACACTGCTACCAGCGTTAAACGAAATAATACAATATCTGAATTTTGACCAATCAGTAGACGCAGTGATATCTTGGCAAGTCTTAACAAGTCCACCAGTACTCAGGCGAAACACTATTTTAACCCGACCCTAACCCTTTCACTACTGGAAACCAAAATGGACTCGTCCAGATCAATGCATGGAATATTTAACTTAAGTTACACAGGAGGTAAAGGGTTAAGTATTTAGGAACAGTATCTGACAAACTAGAACGAACACGGACAATATCCAATCACAAAGACGAATCAAAGAAGCAACAACATAAACTGAGGGGACACGAACACCAAAGGAAAACAAAATATGAAAAAAGGTCCAAACCAGGCGTCCACTGCATACCGACTGGTACCAGTTAAGTTTGTAGTAATTATCAGCGGCATTGTCTAAAGCTATCTAACCTAACTAACATTGAACTCTGTTACCGGGTTTCTGATGGTTCTCAGGGCTAATATTTCGCGGCTTTCCCGATTATTTTTTGTTTTACGTCCTATTAACAGCTATGGCCATTTAAGGACATGCCAGATTTTGGTGGTTATTGTATAATATAGGATCGACCGCATAGCTATTCACAAACAGGTTTTTAATGAAATGATATATGTCGTGTTACATGGTAACTCTATTTATGCACACACCCATTACCTTGGGTCTATTTTTAGAGTCTCAAAGGAAATCTTGCTTTTAAATTGCAGTTAAAACTAGACACTGGTGCAGCCAAGCAGATAAAGGTACAATTTGTAGGTCGTATCAGTTACACAAGTAACGAAGGAAGACAATTACATAACTTGTGCCTTTCCAGGCCTCAAACTCACGGATTACGACATCTGATCACCTAGCCCAGAAAGTATCCGTAGCTCCTACCACCACACCACCTCACAAAAGATGGCGGACACGTACGTAATGCTCGCAGGGAAGGTTATGTGTAAGGCGACTTTCACTCGTTTTCACTTTGGCAGAATATGAAGGAGCAATTCATCAAAAGAATTTTCCATTGTGACAAATTTATGATCGGCTATGGAACATAACGTTATCAACTGAACAAGGTTAGTGCTTCCTGCTTCCCGCTTGGGGTGTCTTTTGACATTGTGTAAATGATCTTGTGTTTTCATTAATCAGTATTCCATTTTTAGGAGACATATTTACATAAGTAATATGCTTGTTTCTTTTTTCATATATATTAGATTTTAATTTTAAAAATTAAATAGAAAATGCAAATTCAATAATAATAAAAAAAGTTTTAAGGAAAGTAACTCTTCTCTAACATAAGCCATAAGGTAAAGTGTGTGGGGTTGCATACAGTGTATATCATTTGTACTGTCATATTCCCCGGTGTATGAAACATGGTTTGATATCATATCATGATTAACACTCCTTTTGTGTAATTTTAGTGTCCTTTGATGTCACATGCAAGCAATTTTAATATAATACTTGATCTTGTGTTAGTTTTATAAGACGATAAATCGGAAAAATGGTACCACATCGTCACTACACAAGGGAATAATAATAACGTGCTATTGTTACAATCATACAACAGACAATTTAGGAATTAAGGTAGAAAAATATGTTTTAATTTAAAATGGGTCATTTTATCGTGTTTCCCCCCTGTATAGAGCTAATGAGGTGTTCTACATATCAAGTATAAACTGTATGGCGACATAATTTAGCTGTGTAGAGGGGGTAGTGACGAAGGTAGGACATTTCATAAAAGTAAAACAGTATAGTGACACACGAAAGCTAATCTTTTATGGTTGTTTTACTGTGATATTACTTTATACCTATAAACAGAGTACATTATCAGCACGTTTTACTGTGTAGCGACAAATGACAGATATTACTTTATACCTATAAACAGAGTACATTATCAGCACGTTTTACTGTGTAGCGACAAATGACAGATATTACTTTATACCTATAAACAGAGTACATTATCAGCACGTTTTACTGTGTAGCGACAAATGACAGATATTACTTTATACCTATAAACAAAGTACATTATCAGCACGTTTTACTGTGAAGTGACATACGAATGACGGTATATTAGGTTCGTCTCTTAAATAACAAACGATGGTTAATATGACGATATTTTTTTGTATAGTGACAAAAAATCAGAGAGAAAATAATGTCTAAATTACAAAGCAAGAAGACATTCTAGGTTGAGTTCGGTAATTTAATAAAGATTAATAAAGGTTTAGGGAAACACTGATTTAGAAGGCAATCGGATGTTTTATTTGACGTATCATCATCTATAAAGATGTTTAAAGGATGTTTTTTTGTTGGATTATATACATATTTGTTCCTGTCACATCACACGACGAGTAACAGTTGTATTACAACTCAGGTGACCGTTAAGGCCCACGGGCTTCTTGCCTGTCTAATTCCTATAATGAATTTAACTAATTGCAAAACGTAAAGCTCCGAGCAATACTTATTAGAGAGTGAATTCCATTAGTCAAATGTATTTTATTAAGTCATTTTTGATTTCAAAACTTAACTATTTTTGATACACCCACCAAACATTTATTACCAATCAAAATTATTTGTTGGTTGATTTCTCGTGGAATGGTAAATCTCATTAAAAAACGTCACAATTAAAAACTATTATGGAGGGGAAGAGGTGAAAGATAATTGATGTATAAGTTCCTTTATATTCTGTTGGGTAAGACGAAAAGTTTATTCAACAGGTAAACACAATAGTTGGCTTGCAAAGCATGGGATATACTTAACGACTCTGCATTTATAAGGTTTAATAGAAATACAAATCATTTTAAAAACTCCTCTTAGGTATTTCAAGGACATCCAGGTAAAGGTTTATTTTTATCGAAACAAGTTTGAAAGAGGCGTGTTTACATTGAATGACTCACAATTCACATAATTTGATTTTTTTCACGTTACGAGTTCCGACATGATTTTTCAATTAATACAAAATTTTTGAAATATCACGGACTGGTATCTGCTTTCAAACGTCTTGAAAACCCCCCATTATTTTCTGGTAGAAAGCCTTTGCAGCCTATTATTCCACTCCTTTTTGATATTATATCTTTTATATCATAAAGAGGTTCTAAAAATTTCTATAACTGTATTATTTGCTCTCTTGTCACTGCCTACTAAGACAGAGAATGAAACCACTGGTTAGATACTGATAAGACAAACGAAAACAAATATTTAAATAATCTTTTACATTTTAAATTTAAAATATGATGTAACAATGGTTCCATGTTAGAATTATACAACAAATTTTGGTAACAAACACTTTTATTTTAAAAATCAAAGTGTGTTTATGACGTATTGGCACGGTTCGGAATTGAAATTAACCAGCAATCCTCTAACTTTCGAAATCAATACGGCATGCGGTTTGACGTACATCCCATTCTATTTCAACAGTTGTTTTGATCAGTTTCGATTTTGGTCCCTAGCATCACTGATGTGTCGCAGAAGGCAGACACAGCTGTAGGATGCACTGTTCATTTTTGCATGCTGTATCTATTACAAAATTTTGTTGGATATGTGCTACGTTCATCTTACGTTTGTGCATGTACATCATAATTGTTTGATAACTTCAAGACGATTCCCCGATATTCTTTTATGGATAAATTATACAATGTAATATTTCAATTAGTTTACGACGAGGTCATTTCCAAACACCATGTTGTACAAGGAAATAGTTAATACCTATAGTGAGGTTGTAAAAACAAAAATATGAAGGCTGAATAACGATTTGGTTGCATTCATGGTCGAATCAAGGTAATTCTCAAAATTCCAAGGGTTACGCGTTTTTACGTTCTTTGCACTCTTGGAAACATCCTCGAAAATTCCTGGGGCTACGCTTTCTTAAGTTCTCTACATCCCTGGTTATGACGTAATCATCGAATGTTCTGTAATCGCCAACTTTTAGATTTTACAAGTAGACTGTTTGATCATGTGATGTTCATCAAAAGAATCGTGCGATAGCATATCGGTAAAATTTATCAGGTATCGTTACTGTGTTATCTTGAAAGGACAGAGCAATTGGTGAGAACTTTTCATAACTGAAACCAATCAAACAGTTAGCTCTGTACATTCATTTTGTCATCACATGCATATGTATTTTAGGCATGCAGAGAACTTAAGTGAGCGTAGCGCCTGGAATTTCCAGGAAGGACGAAGAAGAGTGAGCCTCAAGCACATTATATATGAACTGCTTCACAATAATTTGACAGTTATTTTGCGCGAGTTATTTAATCACGAAAGCAACCAAATCTATATTCGATTATGTAGTCTCATATGATTCACAGATAGAAGTATGAGGCAAATCACTGCGTGACACACAGACATGGATGTAACAAGTATTATATTGTGTTAGTTGCAGCCTTACAAGATGGCCGCCGTTATAGTTACAGACGATATCATGCGGTATACTGTGGAGATTGGTGACGTCACCAGAATTGAGGACTGGGTTTATGCTAAGGTAGACCTTTCTAAATGGAGAGACATATCCGGCAACAACTTTTACCATCTCTGCGTCTTGTGCGGGAAGCCATCTGTACTTGAAAAGATTGACCAGACTTTCCCACAGTATCGTTGTCTTGTTAAACAAGAGAACGGGAATGGAATGACTCCGTTGCTGATGTGTTGCAAATCTGGGCCCTACATCGACTCGGCAACAACGCTGGCTACCATTGATCTCCTGCTGCGATTAGACGGGCAACCGACGATGCAAACATTCAGCAAATGTATATCAGTTGCCAAGGAACACAACGACATTCGTGTATATTTACGATGGAGGAAGGGAAGCCCATCCGGTAATTTTGGTTAAAGCTCCATATCGGTATTGATGTTCACTCATTATAATTATAATTATAAAGTCGAGGTTCCTATATATTGCTTTATCACAACCAATACCGTTGATCGTCTCAAGGTAGTTCACAAATTATTATCCGGGGTTCTGGGGCCTTTGCAATTAGCCAATATATTTCTCAACTCCCTGGGGAGCATACATTTAGGCGTTCAAAGCTATCATTCAACAATTCCAGCACTGCCCAACCACGTACTCATTTGAACAAGAAGATAACACGATCGATATATTTCTTTCCTGTTGCAGGACTACCCAATTTCATCAAAAAGGAAAATAATGATATCATATTGAAATACATCAACGTTGTGGAGACGGTGGACAAAGGCAAGACAAAACGCTACCAGAAGTGCATGCTAGAACGGCAAGGAGTGTTTGAGCACATCAGGATATTTTACGTTGGACCAGAAGGAGTAGGCAAGTCTACTCTATGCAGACGTATGACAAATCGTTCTACTCAGAATATCAGAAGTACCGATCTGATGGATTCATCAATGAACCGCCTCGCCGTCAATTTAAGAACTTGCCAACGGCGGGAAATACATGAAGATACGGCGTACCAGTTATCGATAGAAAAGATCAGGAAGGAAATTCACCATTCCGATCAGAAATTGCACCCTCCAGGTGAGTCATTGTACAATGGAGCAGTATTTAATTTCTTCATTCAAAGATAGAACGTTTAATTACAATTGACGCGGATAAAATAGATGATCTCTGTACAAACATGCAAACTAGCCAAAAAGGACATTTTATTAAATGAGGACATATGTTCAAACACAAACGGAAATAACCTTCAAGCTTTTATTAGAACGAATATGACTAATTTTTATAACGTGCCATTTTTAAGTTTTTAGGCACTCTGCAGATGCATACTATCTTATGTGATCAAGAACATTATTTTCTTCAGGAAATGATACTTTAATACAGCATTATTATATATGAAGATGGAACCTCAAGCTTATCTGACACATTCTCAGATATATGTGGTGTGTTGAATAAGGAAAGTGAATTAAATTGTCTTTATGTAAATCATGTTACTTTCATTACCCTATTTTATCATGATAAGGTTGAACATGTTTGTTTCAAAGATAAGGATGTACCATTTTCATGTTCAAATCTCGTTTTGATTTTTTTGTGACAGTTTTTTAGGTCACCTGAGCTTTGCTCAAGTGACCTATTCTAATTGCTTTCCGTCTGTCGTCGTCCGTCGTCCGTCGTGCGTCGTGCGTCGTCTGTCGTGCGTCGTGCGTAAACTTTTTACATTTTCAACTTCTTCTCAAGAACCAGTGGATGGATTTTTTTCATACTTGGTCAGATTCATCCTTGGTAGATGAGGCTACAAATTTGTAAAATTGGGATTCCAAAGGGAAAATTAACCAATATTTCGAAAATCTTCTTCTCCAGACTCAGAGGTACTACAGTCATTTTCTCTACATGGAAAGAAAGATCATCAGGGGCTTTACCTAAATTGTAAATTTCAGGAAACCTCAGCCATCCGTTCTACCTTGGGGAGGGGGTAAAGTTTACTATAGTTTATATAAGGAAATAACACTTTTGGGTATATTTTGACAACTTTTTGTAGGAAATTATTTTTACTTGTTGAGAATTATCCTTGGAGGAAGATGGTTTCAAATTGTAAAATTGAGATTCCTACCCCAACCCCTGGGGCAAGGGCGGGGCCCCAAAGGGAAAATTAACCAATATTTCAAAAATCTTCTTCTCCAGACTCAGAGGTACTACAGTCATTTTCTCTGCATGGAAAGAAAGATCATCAGGGGCTTTACTTAAATTGTAAATTTCAGGACCCCCCTTACCCCCAGCTATTCGTTCTCCTTTGGGGAGGGGGGTAAAGTTTACTATAGTTTATATATGAAATTTTTTTCTCCTCCAGACTCCAGTTCTACATTCATTTTCTCTGCATGGAAAGAAAATCATCAGGGGCTTCTCTTTAAATCGTAAATTTCAGGACCCCCGAGCTATCCGTTCTCCCTTGGGAAGGGGGTAAAGTTTACTATAGTTTATATAGGGAAATAACACTTTTGGGTATATATATTTTATCTATTTTCAGCAGAAAATTACTCAAACTTAGTCAGAATCATCTTTGGTGAATGAGAGTATTATTTTGTAAAATTTGGATTCCTGCCCCATCCCCAGGGACTAGGGCGGGGCCCCGAAGGGAACATTTACCAATATTTTCAAATTTTTATCCTTTGATGACATTATATTTCACTTAGTTTACATGCTGATTTCCACATCACATCTAAACAATAAAATAAAGCTACCAGTACCTATGATATAACTCAGGTGACCGCTAAGGCCCTTGGGCCTCTTGTTTTATAAAGTTAACAAAATATGATAAATTTCAAAAGCAAACATGCAACAGAAAAATGTATAAAAAACTAGATACCTATTGTTTGCATGTCTATTGTTTTTAAGTTTTAAAACATCACCAATTCGGCAGATTTTTAAATATTCCAAACAATACCAACATGGTTGCACTCTATTCCATCTTAAATGATTTTTAACATAATATTTATCGCTAGAAATGCCATTTTATTGCCACTTTTAACAGTATTACGTTGATGTTTTGCTGTGCTTTGAGCTTTAAAATGTTCAATACTATAAACCTAACATACAACTTTAGCGGAAACCTTTTTGATTTTTGATCACACAAAAGTTAACAAATAACACAAACAATAATATGTCAATAAGTGCACTGACCCATATTTTGTTCCTGGTTCAGGAAGAGAAACATATTTTCGATTGATCAACTGAATATTAAATAAGCAGCACTTTTTACATTAATCGTCAAAAATGCAAATTACGGTGAAAAAATATATTTAAATAATAAGAGGTAGCGGTAACCTATATTGCCTTTCTGAGATAAGAGTATGAGCTAAAGTCATTTTACTCCCGTAATTTAGAAGAAAATACTTTTTTCATAAATTGTGCAAAGGGCCGGTTTCCAAAACGGCCGCTTCTCTGATTCGAATTTCCTGTTGGTGGTGCATTGCCCATGCCGTAGTGGTCACGAATCTATAAAGTATAAAGATTTAGGTCACTTGGTTTGTTTTTTATGGCTCCTCAAAGTTGTACCTTTCAGAAGCTGTCTAAGTGTTGATAAAATGTGCATGTTATGTAAAATATTAATGAAAATCTAATCAAATGATGGTCACCGTAAAGAATACATTCATGGCATGATTGTGACAAAAAATCATGTTTCCATCGCGCCATTTGGCTGTTTTATGGAAGAAACAATCTCAAAAATGCCATTTTCGATGATAACATTTTAGACACAAAAACTGTGTTTTTTAGAGAATACACCCTTTTATGGGCGTTGGATGCAAACCAATTTTTATCCTATTAAACAGTACGTAATATGCTATTGATGAGAGGAAAAATCATCAAAATGTAAGTGGTGGAACATTTTCAAATGTTGGGTTGAATTAGCCTATGGTTGAATTGCCGATTTTCGACTTTCTTTAGATAATTAACAAAAAAACGAGAGTATTTGCTCGGTATGTTGAGAATATGTACACAGATATGAAAAAAAGTGAGAGAAACACTTTTTCATAAAAAAAATCCAAGATGGCTACTTCACAAGTCCCCGTGGTTGAAGACATTGGCTGACAAATAGACAGAACAACAAACAAAACGTGTTCCTTATGATTTTGGTTGGTTTTCGCATTTACGGGAGTGTTCATAGCTACGGGCGATTGTATAATACCTATATTTATAAGTTTGGTTAGTCACATGGTAACGGGGATCTTTCATATCGAGCCCCAAACATACTTTCGACATATGCACTCCGTTGCCGCATGGAAAACTATTTCAAGTTTTGTCGGAATTTCTTTACCTGTGGTTGTAATGGTCGAGGGTTTTCCAGCGTCCTGTAATACCCAAGGTAGTACAAGATACTGGAGATGTGCGCACACATTCCCATCGTTCTCTCTCCAACTGGGCACTGGCAGTAGTAGTCCTTTATTGGGGCCTCAACATCGGGTGAAACGGTGAACCGTATCCAAACGTTATATTTCGTTTGGCTTTTGTGTCGAGAATGTATTTGACATCGGAGAAGGTCTGGGGAGTGCTGGTAAAGCCACACCTCATAGTCTCCGTCATCACTTAAATGTTCGGCGATGTAACCAGGAGCCAGAGATATCTGATACGTTCCACACGTAATGGTTCTCAAGTAATCAAGATCGAGACGGGGAAACAGTACGGAAGATGCATCCATCTTGACAAACTCGGACCTTGCCCGTCTAGATAGATCCGGATCTGTCTTGACTCTCTGAGCTAAACCATTCGGTGTTGTCAAACGGTCCTTCATACGTTCAGCCATTAGCCTATCTTTGGCATCTCTCTCTGGAGATCTCTGGTAGATCGGTCCTCTAATACCATTCAGACAGGCTGTGACGGTTCGAAGCAAAGCCTCGATGACATTGATAAAGCTGTTAGACACCAATTGCGTTCGGAAGAACGTCCAGTGTTTCAGACGACCATGATAGGATTCCACAATCCACCTCGATTTGGTGATAGTTCTGTCAAGATTTGCTTGGACGTCAGAATGTTGACTTTGACCGGGTTTCAGGTATGACGGCATGCTAGCATTGAGGCCAGAGGCTTCGAGAACTGGTAGGACATCTCTAAAACCTCGGTCAACGACAACGTTGTCGTCTGGTTGTAGCCAAGTAACTAGCTTGTCCATGACTTTTTTTGTAATTGTAGCATCATTTTCGCTGCCAGTGAATGGTCCTACTGTGTCCAGAATGTAGCCATCTGGTAAGGCGATGCTCATGAATTTGAGATAGTTTCTCTTCTTCTGGCCACAGTAGGACATTCTCTGGAGCTTGTGGTCGGAGCTTTTCTGGATATAAATATAGGTGCCATCTAATATGGCAGTGGCTTTATCTCCAAAAAATGCTTCTGAAAAGACAGTATTGTGCCCGAGCAACTGTTCTCTTGTCAAGTGATCCGGACCTAGAAATTGTGGGACTATCGATGTGTCTAATGCCTGTACTATGGAGTGGAAAGTTTTGGACACACTTGACTTGGAAATTCCAAAAAGAGAAGAACACTGACTCCAGGAAATGTCGGTTTTCAGAGATCTCTGGTAGATCGGTTCTCTCATACCATTTAGACAGGTATATATACCAGATGAAAGATATGGGGAACAGAGCGAGTGGATTTCGAGGAACTGATCTTTGGACCAACCTGTCCAGGCCATGCATGCCGAGTCATCAAGAGAAGAAAAGCTTATTGTAAACGCAGACTGGTTCTGTGAAAGGACGTGCGACACCTCTAGGAGGTCATTAATGATTTCGGACGATTTTGATGGTAACTGAGATTCCAAGGAACCTCTACCATCAAGGACAACCTCTGTAGACGGATCTAAGTCGTTACCAATAAGGTGAATGGAGCAGACGCGGGATGAGGTGGGACACCACAGTTTGTGTGAATAGATCAGGTGATGTCTTGCACGTTTTGGTAAGACTGATGATTTTGTTCCATTTCTTGCAAAGGTAACAAGACAGAGACAGCATTTTTTGTGTGAAGATGATCCATTCAAAAGATCATGAAGGGTCAGCAACGGCAGGATATGGGACGGGGAGTCGTCTTCTTCCTCTATTTCCTGGTTCTGCTCGGGTTCAGGTTCAGGCTGATTTTTGTTCCGAAGATACTTCATGTAGCACTTCTGGCAAATAAGTGCTTGTTCCTTTGCTGACATCAATCCTTGTTGCACCAGCGTATCTAGGAGCCATTTATATTGTGGACTATTTACATTGCGTGCACTTCTGTTCTTATTGCCACTACGTTTCTTGAAGTATACTTGACACCCTTCTCCAACACATTTACCCTCCATCTTGAAACAATAACGATTGGTTTATGAAGCGTCGATAAAGTAACAAAATAGCAAGCCACCGATGATTGCTGTAAACAGCTAATACTTAGTAGTTTGGTACAATTATGCGAAAATGTGTGATAAATAACGAACAACTAATTACACAAAATAACAAGACAATATAATAAATCACATTCAATACCTCCAAGAAGCGCAGAATTGATTGATTACTTAGAACAAAATAAAGTATTTCATATGGATAATCTATCTATTCGATGTGGCGTGGTCGGCAGGCACAAAGAAAGTGAGACAAGTCAGGGTCCCAACCCTGACAGAGCCACAACGCTTTGGAGATGGGACAATAAAACAAGGAAAGTGAGACAAGAATAGCTAGCGTCGAGTCAATGATTCCGTAAACGTATAGACAAAGACAAGAAGATACGGATAAATGTACAAGGCCACACGATCAGAAAATTCAGAAGAGGACAACTTGAGATAGAACAGTATTCATGTATCAGGGTGTCCTCAGTGTAAATCTTTATATCGATACTGTTTATTTAGTCGTTACACATCATAAAACTGTCATGAAAATATCCGCTCTGATATTCAATATAAAAGTTTGTATATAATAAGCTATATAATAGGGTTTCAGACAAGGTTGTTACTCATTTCCCCTTTTCTTTCAATTTACAACCACATTCAGGCGGCGATATGAGAACGTTCCACCACATGGAATTAGCTGATTTTTGGTACACATATGAAACAAGTAAAGCTCTATCCGATTTTCTGATGGAAATTTGCATCCAAAACTATATAACGGGAGAAAATTGCAATTTTATGGCATTTTTCTTCATAATTGTGTCTCTGCAAGTGCATTTTCATCCGAGAATTTTTTTTTATGTTTTATGAATAAACACGATGTTTTGGAAATATTTATCAAAAGAAATTTATACTATGTTGCGAATTACAATTTCGAGATAACCTTCTTTTATTTACGAACTTATGTCTTTGATGCTGAAATTGACAACTTTATAAAAATACATTTTCACTGAAATTATGAAATCTGGGTGTCGGAAAGGTGTAGAATTATTCTTCGGAAAAGAAAAAAACAGTAGTTGAGCTAGATAAGAAATTATACGGGGGCAGGCTCCTATGGATAATTAACATTACTGGAAACAGGCCCTTTTCTTTTAACTTAGTTTGTTCTGCATACATACGGCCAAAACAAAATGTTTTGCTCAAACTCTGGAGTAATATTTCGCCTTTTTGCATTAAGTAGGTGTGACCTCACCAACCACATCAAAACCTCCAACAAGACCAAACGACGGTGAACGATTGGACACGTTGTCAAATGAAGGTGAGATCCACTTCTGTTATTTTATATTACTTTGTGACATACATCACCTTTATAAATTATTTCTAAAATTCGAAACCTGCAGTATACTATATTAACATTTGAGAACCAACCAGATTGTGGTTGGTTTATATCATAATGAACGCAAATGCTGTCAAGTGAAATGGAAATATGTCATGCATATTATTTTGGTATTTGATATGTATGATCACTTTATGAACCAACCAATCTGGTTGGTTGATATAATCTTAAACATTTTAAAATTAAGTGTTGGAAGCAGGGCTGTTATTGTCAAGAAAGGGAAAGGTCAGGATCATAAAAACGAAATCGTTACACTTTTCGTTCAGGGTTATTCATAAGCCGTTCCATTTGGTCATGCTACTAGTACAGCTCGAGGCTGATGAGGAACTGTTTGTAATAAGTTTATGAAGAACGGTTTGTAATACGTTTATGAAGAACTATTTATAATAAGTTTATGAAGAACTGTTTATAATAAGTTTATGAAGAACTGTTTGTAATAAGTTTATGAAGAACTGTTTGTAATAAGTTTATGAAGGGATTTCTTGGTATTCATTAGCAATGCATTATTGGTATATTCGAAAGTGAAATTGAAGGACGTGGCAATCTTACATGTCTGTCCATATGCTATCTTAATAGATTTAGCTTCACAATCGGATCAAATAAAACCACATGTAGACAACGGTGACCAACAGAACTGCTTTCTCAATGGCAGTTCTTGGGATCGTTGTTTTGTCATTTCCACTCTTTTACTGACTCTAAACATCGCCACTCGAGTCACATAGCTAAAGCTTGATGAGGACGGCAGACTAGAATATATCATACTTGTCCACAGCATGTTAAAAGTATTGCCTAAGAGATATAACCCCGCTGATGTTCAACTTTTAAAGTATTATTCTAATTTTTATCTAATTTTTATGATGACTTTCAAAGGGCTAGTAGGAGCAATCTTATTATTGTTCTAAAACACTCAGACTACCGGTGATGTGGTATTTTTTAATTTTTTTTTATCCAGGAGCTCATTCAAATGACCGCGTAATGTCAGACAATCTATCTTGTTTCGAGTTTTTTGTTCAATATCATTCATTTTTCCTTATGATTTTCCGTATCAATGTGTTTTTCGATAGTGAAAGAAAATGATGTTCCAAAGCACACATTAGATCGCCAAAAATCGTCCTTCAAATTCCCTCTTGGTAGTTATGGGCAACAGAGTGAGCGAGAGAAAAAATTGATTTACAATGCTGCCGAAATCAACTTTGCCGGAGATTTGCAGAAATCGACAGACGAAGAGGCGTACATTTCGCTGTGGGATTTTGCAGGAGAAGAGGTAAATAATGTCGGCATCAGTTCCGCGCTATCACAAGGAGACAAACACGAACATATTGCAGCCTCCCAAAACACACGCATACACTACACGCATGCATCTTTCACCATAGCTGTTGAGAGGACGTTAAACAATACTAAACCATACCAAACCAAAGGTAAATAATGTAAGCATAAACCAATGATTCACGAAAGGACCAAGAAAGATATAACAAAGTTACAAACACATGAGACGTAACCGGATTGGCAACGAAATAATTGTAAAACATTAAGGTAATAGGATTGTGTAACCATTTCTCAATACAATGTCTTCAATTTTTTTTAGTTATATTGCTTGGAAGTAAAGAAAAAAAATCTGCCACAAACAAATATGGGTTGTCTGAATTTTAAGGATTTTAAATGGAAATTTATGTAAAAAGGAGATAATTTTGAATAAAAAATGAAAGAATTTTTTTTGCAAAATAATGTCAATAAAAATTATACTGACATAGATTAGTATTGCATTAATGTATATCAATTTAATAAATGCTGATATTGTGTAAAATTAATTATCTATAAACGATTAAAAATTGCCTTTTTATAATAAAACCATATACACATAGTAATTGCATGTAAGAGTTATCTTTCTGGGAAATATTCACAATAGTGAAATAGGTAGCCGGTTTCCTGAAGTACAGATAAATGGACACATGTGACTCATTGATAAAAAACAACTGAATTAATGCCTGGATTGCTTTGAAATACTTTAATATTGAGAGAACACACTCTTCTGTCAATAATAAACTTACAAAATTCATCAGTTTAATATTAAATATTAGAATATGCGGATATTGTGATACTGTCTCCCTTCATTGGATTTTCAACTAGGATGTACTTCCTATTTCCGTTTATCAATACATTCATATAACCTTAATTGGAGTCTCACAAAGAAAAATCTTCGATACTCAAGGGATTATGCTTATTTTCGCTCTCGCCTGGAATATGTCATAGCAAAATTGATGGCACGCGGCTAGCTTTTTGATTGGTCTCGGGTAAAAACAATGACCAATCGATACATGTTAACTGACACCTGTCCATTGAAGATTACAGAGGAGCGACACCCGACTTCAAACCACTCACGTTTACGGTTAAGAGACCAATATACTCCTTTTGATGTACATCAAAGAATCAAACTAGTCTTCTCGTCTCATCCACAAGGTATCGCACACTGATCGTTCAATCTTGCTGTGACTTAGTCCAGGGGTGCAGAGAGCGAAAGTGAGCGCAACGCCTGGAGTATCGAGGATGAAAAAGGAGGAAAGAAAAGTTAATGTTTGTATCTAAAACAATGATGTACCAAAAGGTCAGAACATCAGAATAACTGTATCTGTGATTTCATATGAATTACCATCGACGTTGTCTTTAGAAGTCTAGATTATGAGGTGTCTAGATTATGAGGTGTCTAGATTATGAGGTTGGTCACTTTCTAAATGTATGCATCTCCTATACAACATGTATTGAGCATTACAAAGGTCTAGTATAAATGTGACGCCTGTGAATTGAAATTGATTTCCGTTCCTAATTTCACTCTGATTGCTACGCAGTGTAATATATTCATTTCTCTCATTTCCGTATGTGAAAGATAGAGCTATCTAGGGTAAGAAATGTGTGTAGGAAATGTCCATCTTACACCCCATTCCACGTGACATGACGTCACAATGACTCAACAATGACGTGACGTCACAAATTTGTAAAAAGCCCGATGCCGCAATGCGGAAAAAGGCGATGTGATGAAATTAAAACCTTTTTCAATATATTTGCCATACTCGGTAGAAAGATAAGATTATTTTTCCCTGTTCGCGCAGAAAAAAATATGGTGTATGCTTAATCTCGCTGACCGATTTTTGTTATAAAAAAAGCTCGGGGAATTGATATTTTTAAAATGGTACCCATTCCAAACGTATTTTCTTGATTTCTGAGCTGATTCTGGTAGTTGAAATGAGAGAAATAAGACTCTTCCATGCCCAAGGATGTAGGATAGGGAAATTCCAGCCTCGGGTTTTTCATTCCGCAAAACCATCGCTATATATTCGGGTTTTACCAAATTTGAAAACCCCCTAGTTGGGATTTCCCTATCCTACACCACTGTGCATGAAAGAGTATTATATTTTTAAATTTTAGAATTGTAACATATGAAAGCTTACACATATATACGTCACTTGAATTAATGAGGAGGGCAATCAAAACTAGTGGTGACTTCCTTTTATTTCTTCTATCCTTAACACTAACGAAACGTTAAATGAAAAAGAATATCAAAGTTATCCCATTTGTGTTCGATGTAGATGACAGTCGGTGATCTTCATGTAAAAGGCAATCTATATTAATAGTATTTCGTTATTAATTTCTAGCTGTACATGAATACAAACCACCTATTCCTGACCGGGGACGCTGTGTTTTTACTGCTCTTCAATATTGTTCAATGTATCAACGATTCTCGTCACATAAGTGAGTACTTTTCAATATTTAGGTATGGTCTTTGAATGTCAAAATCATCCCATATCTTAATATGAAATGTCGAAAACTGGTCACTTTATAATCCTCTCTTCTAAAACATTCTCATGTAATGGACGAGCTCGAAAGGTTCCGCATCATTGGGAAGGATCATCCCCACAAATTAATAAATGGATTTCTTGTTTGTTTAGCTGTTGATTTGATGGGATATAAGTTGCATCATAGTACTATTTGTTGTCCGTATTGAACACTTTTGAGAAAGTTTCTCATCCAAAAGATTAATTTGTTTGTGACTATATTTCGTTGACAGAACGACTCCATATGTGGCTGAAATCGATCGACGCATTATCTGAGGATCGTAGCTCACCCACCTTGCAGGCCCCACCCATAGTGCTTATAGGAACACACCTGGATCAGCTCCCTGGATCGGTAAAACTACAGAACATGTGTTGTCTTGTTTTCAAACAAAGGAATAGATAGGGTAAAAGGCAAGGTATATGTTTTTGATACATGTATCTTACAGCCCATATGATACAGCACGTTGTATTACAAATGCTTTTTGCATGGCACGACTCCTTGTAACGCATAGACTATTATCAAAAGAACGGTATTATATTTGTACAATATATAAACATTGTATATCATATACTTGCTTTAAATATCGACCAAATTGCATATGTGATACTGTGTCATTCCAATGGTCGCTATTGCCCGCCCGTGTAATAACTTATCGATATCAGTCCGCATCCGGTGATATCAGCCCGCTTCCGGATATATCAGCCCGCATCCGGGTCTTCAACATAATCCGGTCCGGTGACCGCTTCACATTTTAGAGGTTTGTTATTGTTGTCGTCTGCACCTCTCGCCTATACTTGAAGTAGATGAACTTATCGACAAAGAAAATGACCAAAGGTTGGATTAGGCGATGTTTGTTAACATCAAAAAAGGAAGGACACTGGTAGTTAATGTCGACAGCATGAAAAACGGCAATACGAAGAGGAAAACTATGTGATACAATTTCATAACATGCCTGTTTTTATATCTGACTCCATATTGGCCCTCAACCTATACCAGGCCCGCGGACCTTTCTGCCCTTGGGCCTGATTTATGTAACTCGGGCCAATACGGGGCTTGATATGAAAACAGGCATGTAATAACCTCTAAATATGTCGCAATGTTATAACATGATATCATTACTCCACTCAAGATGTCGTTTTGTCTGGCTTGTTGAGCTGATTCGTCTTTCTGAAAAGAAACAAAAATTGGGGCTTATTGGGAGATAATATTGACCTTTACATATACAAGATGTAAAATTACCTATCTTAGCGGCATTGTATATTAGCAAAATTTTAAAAGAACAGAATGGTGATTACTGCTGAATTCTAAATTCAAATACTTATTTTTATACCTGTCATACACTTCTGTTGCCGATCTGCAAATATATAATTTCGCAAAATGTCAGAAAATTCACCGCACAATAATTTTGTCCAAGTTTTAATTTCGCGACCTCCTCTCAATAGTGAGAATTGTGATAATAGACGGATAAAGCTTGGGCGAAATATTCTTGCTTGAAATATCCGTTTATATAGCAAAACAATATCCACGTGACAAAGAAGTCAGGTTCATGTTGCTCGCAATGAATAGGTCCGAATTGAATATCACAAACACGTTGATGAATTTTCTCTTCTTATCTAGGACTCGGAGAAAACGCTCCAAGCTGAATCATTCTACTCTGATATCGTGACCAGACATCCCGTTATGGCGGCCATCGCCGAACGTCACATTGTTACGTTCTTCCCATTAGACAACCTGAAGGATGACAACCCTATGTACGAAATGTTATGGTATGCCATTGTGAAAGCAGCACAACATCAGTCCCATTGGAAATGCCCTGTTCCCATGGTATGGCTTGCTTTGGAACGAGATATAATGCTGGCTAAAGGCAAGAGGGTGCGGGTCATGACACTGGATGAAGTAATTGAGAAAGTCAAAGGGCTTGAAGTTGAAGTAAAAGAAGGGGAATTCGGTGTAGAGGAATGTTTAAGGTAGGTGTATTTCTCTATGAATAGGCATCATTTTACAGAATATTGGCTATTCAGTATAAAAATTCCCAGTCTGGTTGCTATTTGGTTAACTGTGTCATTTTGTTAAAAACTTATGAATTGTATGAAATTGCGTTTGTGCAAATCCAAACATTGTACACAGTACATTTTAAAAAAAATATTGTGACGTTCTATTTTCACTGGTTCTTTTTTTATCCTGACATTTGGATTGACAGTTTCATTTTATCCATTAAAATTGATATTTTAATAACATTGTTCAGATATCTGCACCGGACAGGAATCATACTTTGCTTCGGGACCGACAGTCCGGATAGTAAAATAATAACAGATCCTCAATGGCTTGCTAGGGGATTTAGGGCCATCATCACCGCTCGCAATTTCATGCCGGACATTCCAGAACACTCTGAGGTGATGGATCATTATTACAAGACAGGCGAGATAACTCTTGCTCTGATCAAATTGCTTTGGGGAAAAGAAAAAGAAGATGGCTTCCTACAGCATGAACCCGTGCTTATTGCATACATGGTTCGCCTCGGTCTGCTCACACCACCACTCTCTGAAGGAGGAATAGACATCGACGAAGTCTTTTTCGTGCCATCTATCCTCCCTGAAGCTGAACCAGAAAAAATACAGCATCTCATAGAAAATACGTACACACAAAGGAGTGCAACGTTGTGCTTTGTTTTTATAAATGTCTTCGTTTCGTCACCAGTTTATGACAAAGTCATGGCATTCTGCATTCACAATTTCGGCAAAGCTGATTTGACATTCATGGAGCAGGGATACTGTCTCCAAAGAGGTCTTGGATGTTTTCGTCTGAATAGACGAAGAAACATGGTTCTACATTGCCAGGACTCAATCATCAAACTAACAATGTTCTCTTCAACATCAGATGATGCATTGGAAGCAGGTGAAGGGTTTCACCTGAAAAATGTACTGACAGCGATGTTAAAAACAGTTCTGGTCACTAATCAGCAGGGACACCTTGTGAAAGAGTTCGACCTTTTTCTAGACAAATCATATCGTGTCACTAACGACGGCAAATACGTGAGGGAGTCAGACCTCGCACAATCGTCTGAACCGTTGGACTGTTCCGGTCCAGCCAACAGCAAAACTGTCTGCAAGTCCGATTGGGATGTTTGGTTTGTTGATCCATCTTTGGTAAGTTGACGTCATATTTTGTATGATATTTTGATAACTAGACATTTTCATGTAGAGCCTTGGGTTAGTTAACCTCTTATTTGCGTATAAAGCAATGTCAGGGTATAAACCTTAATTATACATAAAACTTTCGCAATTTCAATTAATAAAAATTCGGTAAACAGATTCATGACTACAAAATAGTACATTTGTAAATGATCAAATGAACTGCCATTTGTAAATACAATTATGATAGGTGAATATCTTATAGTAGAAGAACGGTTCCATTATTGCATACGATATTCTAATACTTAGTAGGAGGGCGTCCGACTTTAGGAGATATTCTAATATTCCAAAATTAATTCTTTTAAAGGTTTGCATTCTCTGTTTATGTACCAACATATTTCTCTACTATACATCTTCTTTTAATGGATTGTGTCATGGCAAAACCGGAAGGACTATACGCGCCACGTTTCGGTTGCTACGAGTTGAGTAGTGTGGAAACTGTTACGAAATCCTGCATACCTGGTTATCCTTCGACACAAGATTAAAAGAATCGCTCGACAGTATTGCAGTGAAATTGACCGGCTTATACATAGTTTACCTGTGTAGCTCCACTGTGATCTTTAGCTGAGAGATAGCGTTTGGTCAACAATTAATGTCCGGAATCAATCCAATGGTTCACATGTACCGTCATTGATAGTTTTGTTATGAAATATTCCAAGGTTGTGGAGAGGGTTTGTTTATCGAGAACGGAAATCATGGATTTATAAGACACCATATTCTATAATGTCCTTTATATTTTTAGTTCTGTGCAATCTTTATCAGCCATTCAAATCCTTTTTTCATATTTTGTTGTAGAGAGCTGATGTTATGGAATCAGCAACGGGTGAGTTATAAATTTTGATATAAGCCAAATATTTTGCGTCTGTATTGATAGTATGGCTTATAGCGACTGTAAGCCATTTTGTAGGAGCGATGTTGAGAGCTTTAGTATTTATTCAAACATTTTATGCTATTGTAAAAACTTGCACCCGATGCACTGTAGATGAGATGACTACCATTTTTTATCAGCGATGTTAAGAGCTTATGTATTTATGAATATATATATATTACCGAATATTTACTCTAGTGAAGTCATTTTTAACGCTTATCATTTATAAAAAAAAAACAGGAAGCAATAGCGGAAGCTTACGTTGATAAAGAAAAGTAATAAAACATTTCATCTAAATACAATTTGCATTCATATTACTATCGTCCGTATGATGCGTTTTAGTTTAGACTAAGAAATAGCTTTACAACAGCAATTTTTATCAAATCTTATTCTTTCATCTTTTACATATTACGAACTTGTCTTTTTTTTAGTAAGCCCTTTCAACACAGTCAAGCGATTTACATCCAAGCAAATGAGCCGAATTGCAAAATATATTGGCTCAAGTTACTGCCTCCTCTTCACTGAGCTCGGAATGAAACTGCATGAAATGGAACAGGTACGGGAGAGCTACTCCAGTGAATGCTTCAGAACATTCATTACCCAACTTCTGTGTAAATGGCAGAATGGATTACCTCCCAAGTCGTCCATCCAGAGCATCTACACAGCACTTTCAGCTAACCATGTAGAAACAAGCCTTCTCTCTACCGAACTGCAGAGTGACATAGCGTCAATGGATCCTTCCGGTAAGAGAGTTTCAGGTGCCCATTGTTAATTACGCCCTTCATATTTAAATATGATTTTACAACAAATCTAAAACTTCTTAATACAGTACACAGTTCCCGTCACATTGTTTGAGTCACTAACGTTTTGCTTTATATCACAAAAATTACCATTGCAAATAAGCTTGACATGTTATCACTGACCACTTGATAATGACTATTCTTTCCGTCAGAATTAAGGCAATTCATTATAGATTTAAATTCAATACAGAATACGGTAATACAGTCTGTAGTATATATTCCAAAAACGACAAAAAATAATAGTCGATTAAGCGATCATAATTTTAAAATTAAGCACAGTGTACATATAAGTATGCTTGTAGTTTTAAAAGATATATCAACAAATAAATTCTGTTTGTGTCGCGTTTAAGATAAGAAGCGATAGAAAGGACAAGGCTTTGGAAGTTATACAGAACGCTTAGTGACTAAGGAGCAGATTGATTCTTCTAAAATAAGATAACACTAGCTTCTAAAAATCCCTGACTTAATTATCATTATTATTCCTTAATTTATATTTTAGATGAAGACGCTTGCAGAGTTCCGAATGAGAACGACATAGACTGTATTGCTCTCCGGCTGAACAAGTCATACGTTATTTTCTTTTTGGAACTTGGTATGGAGATTGCAGAGGTTGATCAAGCAATGCTTGATTGCAAAAATGTGAGACGGGCTTTCACCAAATTATTGAAACAATGGGTCGATCGATGTGGTCAGACAGCTTCGATGGGTCGGATCTACAAAGCTATGCAGGAATGTGGTATGGAGCATAACTCATTACGAGAATGAAATCAGTATGGACGATGAACAGTTTGACTGTTTTGAAGACGACGAACAACACAGTAGGACACATGTTCGTCAACGACTTTATAATATGTATCTTAAGTTGTTTTACAAGTATAACACACAGCCATTGGCTACGAGTTCTTCTCATATGTCATACATAAATGCAGGATGTGACAACTGTATATGGACATCAATTTTCTTGCTGCTAACACCCACCGTTCATACGAATCGCACTATCGTACACACGCATCTGTGTACAATGAAAGAGAGAGAGAGATTTGATATTGAAAGGAAATATTTTCATATATTTTCTGCATTTTCAATGCGTTGTCCTTGATATATAGAAAAGGAACTTTTACACGAATATACATTATGAAAATATAATCTTGATTCTAATAGAATATGGAAGTGAATTGCAGTTTTTTTTCATACCGTAGGTAAGTGTTAAGATCAACTAAAATGAGTATTGATTCCTTTTTATTATGAGATTAAACTTCAGCTGTTTTCACTGCTGATATTATAATACTGTATAACACGAAATGTTCGTTGTGTATAAACATTCGTGGTTTTCGTGGTTGAACCACGAAAATTAATACAACGAATTTATATGATATACGTGTATACTGTTGGTTAACATAGGATTTCCACGAAAGTTTGTAGCACGGAACCATCCTAAAGGCTTCAAACGACGAAGGAAAGTACCCACGAACATTGCGTGTTATACAGTGATACCTCTTCCGCAGCAGCAGCATTCCTTTACACAGCAGTTAGCTGTAATCTCCGCTGATATCATCAACGTTTTCTGCAACTCTGATTCACTCGCGCGACCATATGTTATCAAACGTTACATATACATTCGTTTCTAAATGATTTCTTCCAATGTGGTCTACCCAGCAACTCCTAAGAATGTGTGTCCACTGTAAACGTTGACTGCCACGGTGGCCTTTACAAGCCGTGATTTCATAATAGAGGAATATTGGTTGGCAATAAAACTCACATGCACTAAGACTTAATCAAAAGTTGGCATAAAGAACACTCATCAAAATTATCGACGTAGCAGTAATTGTTGCTGGCTGACATCGATGACGTAATGTTGACATCCGTTTCTAAGAGTTAACAAATGTCAGTCAGAAACCATTAGAAAATTTCCATCTGGATTTGACTTTACCGCGTAAACGGTCCATGATGTCTCTAACAATGCAACTGAACAAACCGAACAATTTCCGATTGAACACATTCATATGTAATATTAAGATAGTACAACTTGCTGTCAATCTTAAGGTCGATGCATTTCAATACCTATGGTTAGAACAGGCCGTATATCTGATAACGTGTCAGGGCCAAATTGTCGGAAGCCTAGTTAGCTTAGGTGAATACATCTCTCATTAATGCTGGATTACAAAGATGACTTTGAAAACACAAACAAGATGATAATAACTTTGATGAAGCATTGAACAATATTATCAGATTAAATGAGAAATAGTTCAAATGAAATATTAAGTGTATATAAGCTTGTATCTTAAATAAATAAAAAATGGTTTTCAAACATTGTCGGCTTATTATCATGTTAACCTCTAAGATAAGTTCTCCCACGTTCAGGTTGAAGATCAGTCATTTGGTCAGACTATCACCAATTCAAGATGGTGTATGGTGTTGTTTTTGTAATGGTGTTGGCTGTGGCTTTTGCTATTAACGGTCAACAGGATTATAAGTATGACACTATTCTATCTGAAGTATCTGCTTTGAAGAAATTCACGTTTAACATGAATGTGGAATTTGGTAGACTCCGACAACAGCATGAAGAAATGCGGGAAGAGCTTCGAGCTTTCAGGTGAATAGTTACGACACCTGGATTAAAACGTATTTAATTCAGAATATAAAAAATATCTATAGAGATATATATCATACATATATATATATAGCTACATTGTACAACTAGAGTAGAACAATTTTTTGGGGGAAAATGTAAAGCGACTTTGACAATTAATATGCTATGTTTTGTCAATGAATCCACCAAATTGCGAGAACATTTCAGTGTTATGACGTCAAATATTGTAATACAATGTAGCTAACAACTTCACATTTTATGCAACTTTGTAACATTGTACTACATCCGGAGGCACGTTGATCTAGTGGTAGGACGCCAGGCTCTTGCCAAAGGGCTGCGAGTTCGAGTCACGGCACGGAACTGTGTTGTATCTTTGAGCAAGATACTTTACTCCGCTTGTTCCAGTCTACTCAGCTGTAAATGAGTATGTGGTTGGGCAGTACTAAATTTGTAGAATGCTAGATGTGAGCGCCGAAATGGCAGCACCGGCCGTATGCTCCCGAGGGAGTTGAGACATATATTGGCTGGTTGCAAAGGCCCTATAACCACGGATAATAATTTGTGAAACGCTTTGAGACGACTTACGAACTAGGTTGTGATAAAGCGGTGTATAAGAACCTCGTATTATTATTATTATTATTATTATTATTATTATTACATTCTATTTATCCTTCCATACCGTTTTTAATCTGATAATCTGACAAACTGTCACACTGATGGATTTGTTACTATGTATAATTAAAAGGAGCAGACATAATTCAATAGGCACGCATTCATTGGAAGGAGGTGATAGTCCCCCACAAGACAAAAAAGACGATGGAAAAATTATTGTACTTAATACAAGAACAGCAGGTAAGATTTTTCTCCCCATTATACCTCGACAATGTGTTCATAATAACTTGTTTTATCAAGTGTGTATTTGTCTGAGAAAGTGTCAACAAGAACTATTCCTCATATTCACTGATTGGTCGGAACAAAAGCAGCAACTTTTCATAACAAAATTGACTATTGAATATTCAGGTAGATATACGTGACCAAACTCTAGGCTGATACATGTCCTTTCAAGATTACAGAGGATTTCATCGCAATTTCAAAGCCTGTTGGTTTTACGAATAACCTGCGACGCAAACCCTTTGATCGACATCAAAGTCATCAGACTAGCATTTTTGCATAATCTGGATGATGTTACATAAAAAGTCTCATATTTTTGTGTGTGACATACTCCAAGGGTGCAATGAAAGATATGTGTACTGAAACCGTGACCATTTGATTGAGAAGATGCATTTTATTCTGACATGTGGTTGTTTATTCTGACAAGTGGTTGTTTATGCTGACATGTGTTTGTTTATTCTGACATGTGGTTGTTTATTGTGACATGTGGTTGTTTATTCTGACATGTGGTTGTTTATTCTGACGTGTGGTTGTTTATTCTGACATGTGGTTGTTTATTCTGACATGTGGTTGTTTGCATAACATATCTGTCACAACGTTCATTCGATTTCCATCCATCTTGATTAAGAAACGATTACTGAGAACATTATCAAACTCTTCTGATCCCCTAAAAAGACCTCCAATCCCTAAAACTTTCTTTGTAATCAGAAGAAATTTAATAAATTACATGTTAGAAGGTTAACGCTGCTGCCCCTCTGTTTCAACGGTAAATTAGACAACTAAAATTTGCAGTGTGTTGGTAACTTGAGCCACCAATGATTCCTAGAAGGACGAAACAGCCTTGTGGGGCAGTGTAACTCATTGTGATTTATTGTATCTCTAACCATATTTTGTGTGTGTTTGTGACGTTTTTCATTGACCGCATACCTTTTCAAAGCAGCAATCTGTAGAAATGTATTGCCTCAAAGCAATCTTGATGAAGATTCTGTAAGAGATAAATGAATAACAGAATGAGCTAGAAAATTTCCAAAATGAAGGTGATCACTAACAGGGAGATTTTTTATTAATTTTTGTATGTGTAATTATTATGTTTGTGCGTTCGGACGGTACAGGGTATCACATATTGCGATACTTAATTGACTGGAAAACTATGTTCCTAAACACGTAATTATATTTTAACGTAAACACTTACTCTCTTTCCTTGCAGGTCAGGCCGTCAATACTTCTTTCCAAACTCACTGGAATGACTCTCAAGGTAAGGATATTTAATTATTTAGTGCAATAATTTTATGCTCAGAAAAAGCCGGACATTTTAATTATTGTGTTTTTGTATTTTTGTATTGATGCTCCGATAATTTTGGACCAAACACTATTTATTTTCTAACTTAAATTCTTAACAAAACATCTGAACACTATATTTCTCATATTGGCTGACACTTGGGGCGTATTTAGTATATTATGACGTCATAGTATTATTCCCCTCTAACACATAACCCGCCCGCTGTTTCCTGTAGACACATCAAAAACGGTGCTATGACATTTAAAAAAAAAATGCAACCGTCTCTTTCCTTTCGACATTTGATCTCAGTTTTTCGGAGCATATTCCAGGAAGTATTTGCACATAACATTTTGCTTCCTTAAAACCCAGAATCAAACACAAATGGCGACCATAACGGCAACGAGGCAGAATAATAATGTCACGTTATCTTAGTTTATAACGGCGCTTATATGTTTGAAACCAATTAATGTTTAAGTTATACAACTCGAACTATATATAGCAACCGATTAATCAGCCAAAAAAGAGTTCTGGCTAGATGAACTTCGGAAAATTACATTGCGTTGCTGAACAGTCAGTATCACAATAGTGAACTTTTTATACCAAATATTTGACGTAATAACCTGCATGGACTGGAAATAATTTTTGTTTTTAACAGTATCCGCTTCACAAGTTGCAAATGGAAATTCATCCCTACAGAGTCTTAAAGGGGATAAAGGAACAACTGGGACCACAGTACCAAAAGGGGATACTGGAACCACTGGACCTACGGGACTAAAAGGGGAAATGGTCCAAAAGGGGACAAAGGAGATATATGCACTACAGGACTGAAAGGGAATAATGGAAACCTCAGGGACTCCTGGAGCTATGGGAGCAAAAGGGGGCCACGGACCAAAGGGAGACAAAGAAGAAATAGCTACTGCAGGGCCGAAAGGGAACGATGGAATCCCAGGGCCTGGTGGACCTATGGGAGCAAAAGGGGGCCACGGACTAAAGGGAGACAAAGGAGAAATAGGTACTGCAGGGCCGAAAGGGAACGATGGAACCACTGGCACTACTGGGAATATAGGACCAAAAGGGGATCAAGGTCCTAATGGAGACCAAGGAAAAATAGGAACCGAGGGGCCTAAAGGGAATACTGGTACACATGGAATTAAGGCACAAACAGGGGAAATTGGGGGAACTGGAGCCATGGGTCAAAAAGGGAACTATGGTTTACCTGGGAGTAGGGGACCACAAGGAGCTTCTGGAAGACCAGGTTTAGAAGGACAAAAAGGGAACAAAGGGACGCATGGGGCTGCTGGACCTTTAGGACCCCCAGGGTACATTGGTCATCCGGGGATTACAGGACGGAAAGGAGATGCTGGAAATCCTGGAATTGTGGGACAGAAAGGGGATACCGGAGGCCAAGGGACTCAAGGAGAGAAAGGGGAGACAGGATTAGACAGGACTGGTAGGCAATCACTTTTTTAAACTCTATTACTATGATGTATCTTTAATATTGGTCAATAAAGACGAATGTATGTATATCCAATCTGGAACATACTATTGAAACTAGTGTTGTGGCTTATAGAAATTCTTCTACCGACGTCAATAATGGTATATATTTCTACTCTTCATTTCCTCTATCTGTTCATTTCTTATGCGATCATTAGGTTATAAATACGGACTGTCAGTGATATGTCGAATGACGCCCTAAACGTTCTGTCAATCTTTCACAACATACTGTAAATGTATATATTTTAGCGGTAGTACTATATTGGCGCTTTACGCTCCATTTATGACGCTGAAGTATTTACCAATTGGAGTTTTTGTAAATTGTTATCTGTTGCATATTTTGTCAGCGTGCCAATTCATCAATGCGCTAATCTGCCTAAATTCGATGAAGCGCTAAAATTTGAGAGTGCTATAATAAGACTGATAACAGTACGGGTTTGCATTGTCTTATTGGAGAGTTAGGGAAATTCTGACGAAGGAATGGCGGAAATTGGGTGTGGGTAGCTCATTTAGAACCGACAATTGTTTGCAGTTTCTAAGGATCCTCGATGTTAATTGCACAATACAATTTTGATAAAAAGGTGTAGCAAACACATGTGTTTTCATTTAGACATTTCGAATATGTAGATTACAACTCTGAAAGTTTATAAGGACTTTGAGTCCATGCTGTTTTCACGCTTAAGTGGCATTACACATAGAATATATTGGATTCATGATATCAAATCTCTGTAACTTAGGTTGGCAAAATCAATAATGAGTATTGTGCGGGAGACGCACAGTTTGATATCTCTTAAATTCCGTTTTGTTTTTTTGGCTCATTATATATACATAATTCAAATATTGTGTATTATATTTCCATTTCGTGAGTGCAATACGGTACGAAGGGTATTTTGTGATATTACTCTACAGATTGTTGTTTTGGTTCAGTACTTCCTGAGTACCTTATACAATTATGGACTTCAGGTGAGGTCTATCCCTGATTTACGGACCTGGTCTGAACAATATTCACCGAGGCCGATGGTTTTATTATACGACATTTTACAAAAGATCAATCGTTTTCCATGTCATAAACACATATATGACATGAATCATTTTGGAATCACATAGCAAAGGACTTCAAGTACAAAATAATGGGAAATTACCTAGGCCTTTCTTAAGTAGTTGTCTGTAACACTTTTCTATTTATAGCTCAAGGTCTGTAACACTCTTCTAGTCATAGAACGAGGTATGTAACAAATTTACAGACTCGTCACATGACGTCGCTCCTCCAATCAGGGCTGGGAACTAGCGCCAGTCATATTATAATAGGGAATACGGACTTTGTCACATACACCAACATAGTAATATCCCAAACTTCAAAAAGATTGTTGTTAAGATTTACCGTTTGGAGATTGGCGACGATCAATATAAGTATCTGTTTTCCAGAACTCTACATGGTACATATAACCATGGCAACTTATTGGCAAAACTGTTCTTACGGAAACCTTGTTCATGTTGTTTATTGGAAGGACGTGACAGTATAAAATTTACGCTTGGTCGATATCACAGTAACAGAGCCACGGTTAGATATATAAAAAGGAACACTTGATTATTCTTTAACAGCATGTTAAGTTTTATTAGAATTGGATATTAAACGAAATTACGATATATTTTTTATGAAAAACGTGAACTAAAATAGAATCCTTATGGAATAATAATTGTCACGTGAAATGACTCTACATTGCTTCATGCTAGCATAAATCAGGGAACGGAAATCAGGAAAGCCAATTGTCTTCGTCGTGAACTGCGCCGTGATATGTAGTTGCGGTTTGTTCCCTGCGGCCATGTACGTCATTCATATGACGTTTCTCCTTTGAATTTAGATTCAATTTCAAAGTTGTTCAACAGTCGAAAAAATTCAAAACATGTCAAAATGACATTTCTTAATCCGAATATTGTTTTTCTTTTAGAAACTGGTTAGAGATGTAACTACAATTTGTAACATAATCCTGATTATTATTGATGCATCTTATCTTATCCTATTGAAATTCTATTCTCAGGAAGAAATTTTGTTTGCTTCTTTAATCATTAAGAATTGTGTAGAAAAAACACGAACAATTGAAATATTGTAAATGTGAAGTTTATATTTGCATATGTAATTGTCACTTATCATTTGAAACTAGACTGATTTTCTTTGTAATTGCGTTTGAATATGACAATGCCTATAATTACAATCAGGTAGTTGTGAATAACACAAGCTTTTACTGTTTGATTTAGAAATACGAGCGTTTATTTTTGCGTTAAGAATATTAGTTTGAAAATATTTAACTCGAATATTCATTTATATATTAAATAAATAATAAAAGCAGAAAAAATATCCTTACGAACGAAGAAATATTATAAATAGAAAAATTCTCAACAACAAGTCTTTAGTACTTTCATCTCTTCTTGGAGATTCTTCAGACTTAAATAAATCATATATATATATAAGATATTGATCTCAGAACCATTTCCAAAGCTAACATTTCCTAACCGCAACCAATTAAATGGGTCACAATACGAACATTTTCACACGCGAAAATTTCAACTTTTACAATAATTCATTTTTTCCCTTTTTCAGTTCACGACATAGCGTTTTCGGTAGGAAAAAATCTAAAACATCACGGTCATCTCCCTCATGTGGTGTTTGAGGATATTTATATGAATAACGGACATGACTACCATCCATCGACTGGGGAATTTACCTGTGATGTAGCGGGAATGTACTTGTTTACGTTGTCTGCTAATGTCAGCCCGGGACATGAGATGCTGTTCTATATGAAAAATAACGGACATCATTGGCGCTACATGGCAGTCTCTGGAAGTGGAAGTCATCACCAAACAGGCTCTGTCTCAGCTCTTAATAGAATGAAACACGGAGACATTATGACGGTAGAGCTGACACGCAATACAGATAACACCATGGCCACCACTACGTTTGAAGGCGTTTTACTTTATTGATGAAAAATAAAATCATCTGCATGCTAAAACATCATGTAGCTTATTATTTTCACAAATAACACCACGTAAACCAAGTCATAAAACAACACAAGCAAAGTTTTATTTTTGTTGCTTTGTGTTTATCACTACAAAAGTAATCGGAAAGTCTATTTTTGTAAATATGTATTGGCAAACGCGTCTTAGCTCTATAATGGTGTAATGAACCTACCTATTACAATCTTGGAAGCATTTCAGTTTAAGTAGTACATATTATTGTCGGTTTACCAATGTAGAAAGTTATGACAATCTTGTAAGTTTATTTGTAACGAATAGCATCGCTATACGAAAGAAGAACTTTGGTATGAATATTGTATTTCTTCAGGAATGAGTGTATGATGAAGTTGAAATTAATATACTATATGTTGATTAGGTATTGGCATATTATGACAAGTTACCGATCGCGATCTTGAAATATTACAGTGATCAGTCTCATACTCGAGGTCTATTCTCGCTTCGGTTTCTATTATTACATCCGGGTAACTGTTCTGTATACTAGGTTTTGATTGGTCAGCTAATAGTATAAATAGCTGTGAACCGCAGCAGAGTAAATTTAAAGCCTTTTTTTTATTTTTCAATTTTCAAAGTTAATTCATAAGTGGGGTTATCGTTCAATTTGGACTTTAAAACCCCGTAGCTTATCTGTAGTACTTGTAACAGTCTTTCAAATTTGAATTTTGTTGGTGCGTGAAACCACCGATTGCCATATATGGAAACGGAAAATAGTCACGAAATTTCCCTGTTTCAAACAATAAGTTATAAAAAAAAAATCTATTGAAATGAAGACATCGCAATTTCTATGTTTTAAATGCAAAAAAAAAAAAGAGAATAAAAAATAATATTTTAGGCTTCTGTTTTGGCTAACTGATTTTTTTATTATTATGACATTCATCTTTAAAAACGACACCAATTTTCTGTTGTTTAAATAACTGATGAATCGTATATTGACTTGTTTATTATCGTCAATCTCCCGATTTGTTTCAATGATTTTGTTCGTTAGAGCTATTTCAGTGTGTTTCGGTAATTCATCCAATGGTTTAACTCAGGGCTGTTGGTTTGTAGTGGATATTAAACCAGTGAATCATGTCAACGACGACATACTAGCCTTACTACTGAAATGTAATATAACATAATGGCGACGGGCCTAAACGCTGAAATTGTGTACAGCCATTGTTTAATACCAATACGTGTTACCGTTACAACTGCATGTTAAGCATTATATCTCTATAAAGGAATATTTGATCGCTAACTGGCAATACAGTAACAATCTCACGTATTTACTTGGCATTTCACTCTGAACTTGAGATAGTGTACTCAAGTATTTCACAAATGAAACTAGAGTTACTTCCCTTCAAAGGACCAGCTCTGTAGTTTGTAGCAAAACTGTATGATGAAACCAACACACTGAGACACTGCCGTTTATGTTTCTAAGGTCGCCTTATAGTTCGTACTCAAAGTATTGTACCACTACGTATTAATTATAATGAGAAGTAAATTGCGCTAAAAATGTAGGTAATGATAATTTAATTAAATCGTTTGTTTCGAATGTGATCTTCAGTTATAAAGAAAGATATATTTACGATGTCGTTTACCTTCCATGTATAGTTATAACAGTTCGACGATATTCGGTAACAGAAATATATATTTCTTTGTCGACCGCATAATTCAGTTAAACTACAAATCCACTTTTTGTGTGTAAATGATATCAAGTGGTGAAGTGTCATGAATAAGACAATTGACATCACATCATAACCTCATGACCTCATAACCTCACGACCCCGTCTATCGTATTTAAGACATCAAACATGATGTCTAGAATGCAACTTAAAGGATTGTTTCTGGTTCAAACTAAATATCTGAACACGTATATATTTGTATACTTTCCATAGTTAAATATATATTTTCACGAATATTCGTATACTTTCCATAGTAAAATATATTTTCACGAGTATTCGTTTAATTCCAAAAGTAGACTTTTGTGTTAAGAAAAGTTAAAAGTAAATGTAAGTCTTAAATATTGATGTGAATTCGTTGGAATAATCTTGTAAAAGATTATATTGAGTTGTTTCTTTTTGATTAAATGTACTAATATATTCATTAAAACCACGTTTAGTTGAATGCGAAATGGATTACGCATGTAATGCTGACACGCCCAATGAATCGTGAAGACGATTTAGACTAATTTTTTGTTTCACGAAGAATTGACCGTGATCCAATCGGTATAAAGACTGTTAGGTCACTTGCCCCGACTATTACGTCTCAACTGAAAAATGGGGAAAAAATTGGAAATACCAATATTGTGTTGCACTCCAATTTATCAAAGGTTACTGAATAAAGCATGCCTAGGTACTTGTATGTATCATGATCCGGTTTTGAATGTAATAAGCATGAAACAAACACAGTCTAATGAAAGAAACGCTGGCGCAGCTGACATTCCAAACAAAATATCTTAAAATCATAAACTTAAAGACCAAGCATTATTTTTTTTCCAAATGCGACATTAATTTGAAACATACATTTTTTTTTTGTACATTGTAGAGAAAGATTACTTTAAAGTTAATAGTAAGATGTAGGGTCCACTCTATGTCAACGTAACCATCTATAATTAATCTTAATGTGAGTAAAATGTTGATGTGCTAGCTGATTACTAATATATAAAGCTTTCCCACCGTTTTACAGGATGAAAGGCCAAAAGCAACTGGTAAACGATGATTAAACCCTCAGGGCATCCGCCTCTGTAAAACATAAAGGCATCCTGTGACGAACGAACTTCAACTTCATAATCTTCAAACTGTGCCACATTGAAATACACATGTATTAATACGACCTTCAATTTGTTTTGCGGTGTTTACATGTTACATGTAAGTGTTCGTGTTGATGAAACAGGACAATTTTAGTTACGGAGTTGAAGTACTTTGAAGTGAATGCTACTAAGACTTAATGACTAATATTAACTTGTCATATTGAAAAGGATATTTTTTTTATTAGGTTTCATTTAAAAATTCCTCGTTTTGATAGAGAGAGACAGTTTTATTACGCAGTTTGAGTACTTTGTTCTGAGTGTATTATGTTTAACATGTTTTATTTGATATAAAAGGACAGTTTTTAACAAAGTGTCAGTATTTTGTAATGAACTACATAAAACGTATTGTTTTTGATTTGTTTCACTGTTTATCGTCGATGCAACAACTTAGGTAACATGGATACACTTCTGAAATGAAAGAAATCATGAGTGAAAAGAAAAGGTTGAAGTTCTTCGTGTCACAAAGGGGGAAGCGGATCACTGTTGCTTATGCGAAGTTCTTGTTACACAACCAATAAGTGTTTCAATATGACGTTTCGATGACCAGTACGGTATGTACTCTGTCACCTTCATCGAACAAATGATCAGTGAAGCGTATGCCCAATCGACATCGTACACATTTTACATCTTTGTGTACATACGCTTCACTGGTCATTTGTCTGATGAAGGTGACAGAGTACATACCTCACTAGTCATCGAAAATATTGATAGAAACACTTATTGGTGGTATAACAAGAATATTTCATAATTCATACTTACCAACCTGAAGAAAAAGTAAGAAATATCGGATCAGTGTTGTTTTCTGAAGGTCCACAATGCAGAAGATAAAGAACAAGCGGAAGATAAAGGAAGCCATCTGGATACGCCGCAGTGGGCCAGTTCTAAATCGAGACGAGGGGGCTCAAAGACTCTCGCACATCTATGACCAAGTGGTAACAAAGCGTAGCTGAATTGAGTTATTTCGGTACATATATAACAACTAGTGTGCATACGTTTCCAGCGTTGCCGAAATCGACATCGATTTTATGGACAACTCGTACACATTTTACACCTTTGTGTGCATACGCTTCATTGGTCATTTGTCTGATAAAAGTGACAGTGTACATATCGTACTAGTCATCGAAACGTCACATAGTGCATTTCATTGGTTGTGTAAAAAGAACTTTTCATAATCCATACTTACCAACCTGAAGAAAATGTGTAGAAACTTTTTTAAGGATTTTGATATGTCCCGGCCTTGGAACACAACTGATTGCTTTTTTATCTTTGGCGAACGTTCAACACCTGGGTCAAACTTGACAGATGAAATCAATAAGTATCTCGAATGTGTCCCAAATTTGGTTTAAGGGGATATTTAGTCAAATGAAAACCTGAAAATCAAGTCGATCCTGAAAATATTGATCTCCTGACGAAATTTACGTTGTTGATAATGACATGACCTGAAGCCAACGTCCAGTGTGGTCAGTTTCATCTTTTGGAAAAGCCGGTGAGAAAAAATAGCAACGACCGAAATAGAGCAATATCCGGGCCTTCCAGTGAGAAGTAAACATGTTCAGCAACATGCTGTCGACCGACAACACAGTCACAGTTCACATATAACACATTCTTGAATTTACACAATACATCGCAAGTAGGAATCGTACGTATCTTAATATATACCTTTAATCAGATATATCTGTTCACATTTGGATTTGAATAAAAAACGAACTGGTTCAATTACAGCATGCACGCCTTGAGAGGGTACCGCAGGGAGAATTTCAAACCGCAGAAAGTACGATATCAATAGGTTTGAACACAGGTACTTGTATTCTAGAGAGGCTAGGTGAATAAAGCGAGAAGTTATCTCCTCTCCTCGACTGGGAACACACTTTTGTAAGCTATGAATTCATCGACAGCTGTCGCTAAAACGTATGGCTGAACAGTTAAGGATTTCTCCATTACTAATTAAAAAACTCCAAGAAAACAGTGTCCTTTGTCGATTTCTCGACATGAATTGCTCATGAGGTGTATCAAACTAATCATAAATAACTTTGTGACAAGGATATATAAAAAAAAACTTGCTTCACTAGATTGTCCTGTTTAAGGGTTTCAAAAGGTGACCTGCATTCAGAATATTGTCAGACGGGAACAGGGGGGTTCATTATGATTTTGTTATGAAGTTGCTATAGCATACGTACTAATACATGTACATGTGCAATTTATATATCATGTTGTCATCATAATATTTTTCCAATATGATATATTTAAATATGTTTATTATAGAAACGTTTACACAGTCCATATTTTACACAGTCCATACATTATCTTCAAGTGTAAACTGACTCATAAAAAGCGCCTTGGCAGTACATACTGAATGACGTGTGTAGCTACAGTGCATTTCATAGTCAGCAGAGCGCCAAGGACAGCAATTTCGAAATACACTCCGCAGAAATTTGGTGATCTCATTCAAAACAGCCAGAACACAAATCAGGTAAGAAGGGTTTTGTTCTAGTTTGAGAGCACATACTTTCTACTTTTAGCTATAAACTATTTTGTATTCGATATTTTGTTTAAATAGTCATAACAAAATTTAATGAAATGATATTAAACATTTCAATTAAGTGAGTTCTACATGTATCATGGATAATGTAATTACAACAAAATTTGATTAATTCCTAGATAGAGGATAAATTCCTTGTGTTTTCAGCTTTTTTAAAAATTCCATAGCACGTGCATTAATGCTTTTTTAACCATTTTCTAATTATTTGAGGTACAATGTACCCATAATTAATCTTTTTATTTTGTTTTTGCGTCTGTGCTTAAACTTTAGCACTGACATTTATGTTATTTCACTCCTACAACATAAGCGGCCGAACAAAATAACAATTTTTCGCGAAAATATTTCCTGGGAACACGTAGCACTACGTAACATTCTTAAGGTATTAACAAGAGATACATTAATTTCTTAATGCAATAAAGTAAATCCTGGGTATTTTGTCTCCCTGTCTTATCGCCATAATACTACTGAAATCTATAAAATTATAACCATGAACAGTAATATGTTGTCTAATCTGACCGATATGTTTTATCATCAGTGTCAGATAAAACAGTATTTACTAAATTTCCAAAAAATGTCCAATCGGAAAAAGCATTTCTTCATTTTCAAAATATCCGTTTGAAAAAGCTGATGAATTTCATAAAATTTAATTCTGATATAACCAAAACGAAACCTAAAACATCACAATTAATCTAAAACTAAACTTTTTAATTGACATCGCTATTTCATGTATTTAATCCCCTTTAAAGACATAAACACTATAAATAAAATAATTATTGCTCTTACAGTACTAAAAAAGGGACAAAATTAAAAGTAAATGGAATTTTATCACTGAAATAATTAATTAGAAAATGAACTATGATTTACTACATTCAACTTGTTTCGAAACATATTTCTAAAGATTAATGTACTATATAGTAAAATTGTAACTATGCATTACTTCATTATTTATAATTGTATGTCATTTTCTAATAGATGTACTCTTGTAATTGGATTTGGACGTATGTATGTATCACATGTTGTAACAATTGTATATATGATTGAATAAAATAATATATGTGAAAAAAAGAAAAAAAATATAAATGTTGATTTAACTAAAAATATTTTTTTTATATTTTTCAGGTACAACATAGTGCCATTAACCGAGCAATGCATTTATCCGTAATTTCCATGGCTGCCATTTTGTTGGCGGTCACACTTGTTAAAGGCGACAAAGAGAAACACTCGAATTACTATGCCAACCAGAATTTCAAAAAGGCATTTAAGCTCAGTCCAGAGGCTCCTCTACCTCCTACAGATGAGGAAGACGAGAGTACCGGATGTGCATTGAAGGTTGAGTGTAAAAACAGGAAAGGTGAACCCGGAACATCAGGTTTGCCTGGTATGGACGGTACGCCCGGGTTGCCGGGATACGATGGTCGGCCTGGAGAAAAGGGCAACCAGGGGGAACCAGGTAACTTTCATTTCAGAATATTTATTGTTCAGACCTTAGATACAAAGGAATTGGGCAACAGGCAAAGCCTATGAGCGCCCTCTCCTTACAATTATAAACAGTTTACACACATCATATTGAATTGAATTAATGATAAAACATGTATATTATGTACATGAATATTGATATTTGCATGTCATTATTATTATTTTTTTAAAAAGGTTGTACAGAAACTAGATTTTACAAAAAATGGCAATTGAAATTATGCTGGTGGACAGCACATAGTACAATTATGTACTGGTATCATTCCATACAGCAAAGTCATGAGATAAACAAGTAAGTGTAATCTAGTTAAAGCGTCTTGTATCTTTAACCAATCTCTTAACCATCTCCAAGATACTTATGTTCATATTGATATCGAGTCTTTGACATCCATAAAGAAAAGTCTGAGTATTTAATGGAATAATGTCATTAAAAGCAGAAATGGAGTTCAGGAGAATTTGCCTTTGATTAGTATACAGAGTACAATGGAAGAAGAAGTGATCACAATCCTCAACAGGAGAACTACATAAGCAGGCAGGGGTATCAATTAGGTGAGATTCAAATAGATCTGAATTCAGGTTACTGGCACAGTTTCTAAGTTGACATAAGGTAATATTAAATTTTCGATCACCATTGTATTTAAAAATATCAGTACATTGGGGTTGAGAATCCATTTCATCTGAGTGTAAAAAATCTCTTTTTATAGATCCAATGGATGTCATTGTGGGATACAGGCAAGTTGGATTATTCCATTCAGACATCAGTTTCGGGAAAAAACTGGCATTATATAACTGAGTTCTTGGTATAGGAACATCAAAAATTCTATTGTGGCGAAGATGATAATTGTCAGTATTATCATTAATGTACGGTTGAATTATATCATAGACATGAGAGGGACATTTCCTATTATATATTTTATAAAAAGTAATATTTTGATGCAAATGTCTTCTTCTATTAAGTGTTATAAAACCAGATTCTCTATATAAGATAGCATGACTTGTTCCACGTCTTAACCCTAAGATAATACGTGCTGCTTCTAGTTGGATAGACTCCAAGACACTGCATTCATTCTGCGTGCAGTTTGCCCATATAATATTTGCATATTCCAGAATTGGACGTATAAATGTGATATATATAGTTTCGAGTGATTTTCTATCAATTTTGTATTTCAACATTCTAAGTATATTAATTCTTTTATAAGCTTTTTCGTATATATAGTTTATGTGGTTAGACCAATTAGCCTTGCTGTTGAAAAACAAACCTAGGTGTTTATGATTAGAAACATTAATAATTGATGATTCATCAAAATATAGGTTAGGATGCAGTGTCTCAGAGTCAACCCGCCTCGAGAAGAGCAGGGCTACAGTTTTATCTGGATTAAAGATAATTCCCCATGTTCTAGCCCAGATTGAAATTTTCCTCAGATCATCATTTAATATATTAGCACATTCTTGCCTGTCTCCCTCAATGAGACCATATAAGGAGGTATCATCAGCAAATAGTTTGAAGTTTGAGGCCAATTCATCACCAATATCATTAATATATAGTAAAAACAAAAAAGGACCAAGGACTGAACCTTGGGGTACCCCTGCCTGTAATGTTTTCCAGTTAGACTTATACCCATCTATGACCACTCTCTGTTGCCTATCATGAAGGTATGATGTAAACCATTCTAACATATTATTACATATACCATATTTTTTTAGTTTATAAATTAGACCGTCATGCCAAACTCTGTCAAAGGCTTTGCTAATATCACAGAAAATCATTCTGGCCTCTTTGCCTTTGTCTAAATGTTTTACAATTTCATCGTTTATATTTAATAGCTGATACACTGTGGAATCCTTAGGTAAAAAGCCTGACTGATTCTTAGAAATAATGTTATATCTTGAAAGGTAATTGAACATATATTTAAAAACAATTTTTTCAAATAGCTTGCTAAATATAGGGGTAACAGATATTGGTCTATAGTTGGATGGATCACTTTTATCTCCCTTGCCCTTATAAATTGGGGTAACATGAGCATTTTTCCATCTATTTGGTAGCTTTCCGGTAGAAATAGATTTGTTGAATAAGAGATAGAGTGGTTTCACAAGAGATTGGGAAACCCCTTTTATGAATTTTGGAGGGATACTATCAGGGCCTGAAGGTTTATTAGTATTGAGTAGATCGAGCTGATCAAGAATGTCCTGTTCGGTTATGTCTATTGTTGAGAAGCTATGTCGGGGTCGGGGGCAATCAGGAGGTAAATCGTCAGCATTCTTTTCAGTTACGGAAATCGAAGTGAAATAATCGTTAAAAGATTCCGCCTTATCTATGGGGTGGATTTTCAGTTCGCCGTTGATAATCAATGGAGAGTCATTTTCGTTTTTGTTTTTGAGATTCATAACCGATTTTACAATACGCCACCATTTTCCTGGGGGTATGGTTTTATCATTTAAAGAAGATTGAAGTTTAGATAAATATTTTTCTTTAGCTTCCCGGACTAAGGATATAACTTCATTCCGAATAGATCTAAATTTTGCCCAAGAAGATGGAGTATTATGTAGCTTAGCTTTGGAATGCTGGCGATTTCTTTGTCTAATTTTGAGTCTGAAACCTTTAGTCATCCAAATTTTATCATTAGGTCTTATAGTTACTGTTGTATGGGGCACGAATAGGTCGAACCAGGTAACTAAATAGAGTATACTTCCATATTATACATGTTCTTAACGCTTACGATACGTGATAGCATTTCGTAACATCTCCAGTGTTAGTTTTCCCCCCGTAGTTTTAAAAACACACGATTACTCATTCAGTAATAATCCATCGCACCCCATCCTCGATATCCAAGAGTTACGCTCATAGTCCAGGGGTGCAGAGTGCGAAAGTGAGCAAAACCCTTGGATATCGAGGATGATTGCACCCTTAAACATATCCAGCATCAAACAACTATCACGTACACGGAGTTACGTAAACCTACTTACCCAACTCCAAAAAATATTTCAAATCAGCTCTGAACTGCTTTTAGTTGACTGTCATTCTCAATATAAATGCAAAATTAACCACGATTAATTCAACATGAAGCACTTATTGTTGATTTTGTCAATGACATTCATATTGACGATGAATGCGAACCGGAAGCAGTTTAGATTTTTTTTTATCACTTATCACTTTATCACTTTTAATAATTATTTAAATTCTTAAAAAATTACGAAAATTTTAAGAATATTAATATTCTAAGACAAAATGAATCATTAAGCTTAATTAGTTTTACACTATTTTGCCTATGTCTGTTTAATGTAAGTGAAGTTGTGTGACCGCACAACGCATCGAAAATAGCGTGTGTACATTGTGCGATTTCACAATCGTTCGCACCGTTGTGCGCTTCTCTACGCACAAATGTGCGATTTGGTGGAATTGGTTAATCAATATCACAGAATGGAAAAAATACCGAACCCTTAGTATAGAATCAGGAACACTGTATATAAATTGTCTGTAAAACATTGTATAATAAAATGAATTAGGATTGTGTTCAATTTTACAATGTGTGTTACACAGCATTATAGTGACCGTTAGACTGTCAAGAATGGATTCAGTTACCAAATAACAGAACGGGTAAATAACATTTTGATGATTAACCGGAATTTTAACTAACCTGTGTTTTGGAAAACTACGGTCGAGGTACAGGTACAAAGTGGCTACGTTTACCTGTATACGTGACAAGTCAATATGTGTTATTTTACATGTGTCGATTTGGGTCGTTTAATAAACACCGAAAACACCATTTCAAAGTTGAAGAAGATATAGATTGAAAAATCAGCTTATATATGTAGCTAAAAATATAGAAGTATAACACCAACCACGATTGTCATCGCACAACGTTCGTCTATTGTCCGCACAAATGTGCCCAAGCAATAATCGTCCAGATTTTAATCGTTTACATCGTGCACACATCGCGCACACTCCGTGCGCACGTCGCGCGCACACCACACATCGTGTAATGTTGTGCGATCCCACAACCGTATATATGAAAATTACCAGTCATGTTCAAATGTAGGTCACTTGTTTCGAACATTACATTTTTAACGTCACAATTCACGTTTACTAATAACGTATGTCATATAAAATAAGTAGGGTTAAATAGTGGCAATTAAATATGGTAAATGTTTGTGTTTATATTTTCAGGGTCGTCTGGTCCTACCGTTACTGTAGCATTTCTTGTCGGTTTGGATGACCATCAGGACTCTGAGGAAAACATTTTGTTAACTTATAAGCGTGTTTTGTTGAACCATGGAAATGCTTATAACTCCGAGACCGGGAAGTTTACAGCCCCCTACAGCGGTATCTACGTCTTCCATATTGTCGTGTCTGCACAGGAAGGAAAAAAGGTATGATATTTTTCTTTCTGGTAGGTATTTGTCTTGTACATGTTTAATATTGAGTTGTAGCAGTTATATAAGTAAACCGAAAAGAATTGCAAACAAGTCATTCAAACTTATCTTGTTGACATCAAACAGTCAATTAAATTGGGCACAAGTCTTAGAACTTACTAGGCCCTCTCCTAAATAAGTAGGACACGACTAAAGTACTTAGGATAGGTCTGCTTTTACCTGCGTTAGGTTATCCTAAGAGGCGATACATGTGTTGTTTCCTGTAATTTTTCTTCAATGCTTTCTGCTAAGGCGACATTGAAGAAACAAACCTTGTATTTTGTAATTAATAACAAGTAGTTGTATAATTATATTCTTAACGTATTATCATGTGAATATTAATATACCATACAATATTGACATAGCTTATTCATAATATGTAATATCTATAAACCTAATATTCAACTATCTATGAGTAAATCTGTGTGAATTTTGAACTCCCAGTGAGGATCTAGTGAAGGAAGATGTCTAAAACTCACGCATTACTCTGGTGAGGTTAAGACGTAGCACAGCTTGACTTGTGAACTTTCATAAACAGTTTCAGTTATCTCCTCTTTATTATATGACTTGCACATTGATATCTGTTTTGTTTATAAGTTGTGTCTTTTTTTCAATTTTTCATTTCACTATAAATTATAAAATATTTATCAAAAGTTGGCTAAAAACAATTGAAAAAAGTTATGTCAACATGAAAAACTTTAAAGTCAATATTGAAAGAGATTAAGTCATTAAGCTTCCAAAACTAGAAAGAATGAAAATCAAAAATTGCAGCAATCAAAGCATATACAAACATTTAATAAAATTGCGTTCTGAAAAACCTATTTCAATAATATATTGGGAAATTAACCTTAATATCAATGCTGTACTAGAGTACAGAAATTAATTCATATTCAAAACCTTACAGAACAACAAACTAAAAGAGTTCAGATGGAAATTATTAAATAAAATCCTAGTATCAAAGCAAATACTACATAAATGGAAATTGAGTGATACACCTAATTGTAATGTTTGTATCATACCAGAAGACTATGAACATTTTTTCATCAATTGCAGATATCTACAAAGTTTTAATAATACAATTAAGCACCTCTTTGATAAACTTGGATATAAAAAGGATATGTTGACTTTAAAAAACTTAGCAATTGGATATAAAATAGAACACCCAAATTATAATGAACTCAATCACCTCCTAACAATTATAGGCTTTGTAATCTATAAATGTTATTACATAAGTGAGGCAAAAACTAAACAGGTAAATGTAACAAGCATATTTAAACAATATGTACAAACAACAGTAGATATTAACAAATACAGAAATAAACAATGTAAAATTTTCCTAGACACTCTGCATCTCTTGTAGGTACACATCTTCAAACACTTCTAATCTCCACAGAAAAAGTCGGNAAAAATTATGATAACAAAGTTAGATAATCGATTTGATACAACTAAAATAATAATTCATGCTACCTATTGTCCTTTTATGATACCCTGAAGGTGAAACACGTGGGTGCTACATCAATAAGGAACCTACCCCACACAACAATGCAACAACATATCGTGAGAACGTAAACAAATATAAAAACACTTTGTTATTACTTACCTACACCCTTCAATGTATATCCACACAATACAACGGGAAACGCGTATAGACATCCAGAAACGCCCCAAATTCCGAACACATGTAGACACCGCCATGATGGTACAAGATAAGGATAAAAACAAACGTAAACACGGGACCTTTTAGTTTCCGGATTGAATCTTTTATTTTGATTATTAACTTTTATTAACTTCCTTTTTGTTTTAAATGTGAATCAATACGATATATATAATATGCTTAAATTATGGTGATTAATGGTTAATAAAAAAATAGGATTAAAGAAAAACCGCGTTATAATACAATATTTCTTGTTTACTACATAATGAAAACGTTGTTATTATACAATGTAACGTGTTTACTATGTTATGAAAACATTGCTATTATACAATATTACTTGTTTACTAGGTAATGAAAACATTGTTATTATACAATATTACATGTTTACTAGGTAATGAAAACATTGTTATTATACAACATAACTTGTTTACTAGGTAATGAAAACATTGTTATTATACAATATTACATGTTTACTAGGTAATGAAAACATTGTTGTTATACAATATTACTTGTTACCAGGTAATGAAAACATTGTAATTTTACAATATTCCTTGTTGACTAGGTACTGAAAAAAAAAAAATGAAAAAAAACGTATCACTCTGGCGGCGTGTGATTGTGTCAGAAATGTGGCAATACAAATTCAGACTCCTTGACCCGTCACATTGCTCTGTAAATTGTGATTCCTTACTTTTATGTATGTTTTAGTGAAATACTAGTGGTCTGAAATAAACAGTATAAAATCACAAAAAAAAACCCAAAAAAATAAATATATTTATATGCTGAATTTTACAAATGCATGCAGCCTGTTGTTCGATCCAATTCATACAACATCATGAATAAAATTTGTTGATATGAAAGAAACAAACCTTGGGCTACAGCCCGCAATGCAACACCTTGGATGTGTATCTTCTTTTTCTGCTTCTTTTCCTTTCAGCATCTCCTCAGAAAATTTATACCGATATACCAGACCTTACCGCCACCAATTTAAAGTCGAACGGCTAATAAAGAAGTATACGTAGCAATTTAAAAGCTTTGGGTTTGTTTCGATCAGAAACAGATCATACAAAGCATAATGTCCCTTGCTAGCGTTTTGGAAAAGTTGTCAGAACAAATATCCCAAATGTCGCAATGGGTGCAGTAGCTGTATTGTTGGTTTCCTTAAGCAATGACTATAAAGATAAACTGCCTTAGTCATAAGGTTATTCTAAAGTTTTTTCATTTCTTTCCTAGGCTGCCGTGACGTTACGTCAAACACATGGAGGTGGTAAACCACAGGATGTGATGAGGGTTTGGGCGGAGAGTTTACCAAGTTGGTCTACGTCATCAAGTACTGCGTACCTCTCGCTCAGCCAGGGAGCGCAAGTCTACCTGACTTCAACGGACGGCATTCACTCATATTATTACGCTAACTTGTACACAACTTTTAGTGGACATTTGTTAGCGACCACTTAATAAACCATTGGAATGGGTCTGGATGATTGAAAGTGAGTTTCAAATCAATAGATATTGTGTTGGGGATGAAATAAAACAGGTTTGGAATATCAATGGAATCATCGAGTTATTCATACAACGTTGCATTGGATCACAATACATTTTGTTTTGTAACCTAAGTTCAATTGCGACGATTTCCACTAAAAAAATCTTTGACTAAGTTTTCTCTCTGCGTTACCGAATATGAAGCACTAAAACCGACTTTCGAGTTTATAAATGCCTCCGTTATCCAGATAGATAATCATATCTCATTTTGATGCTATTATCATTAATTCCTTTATTTCCTCTAAAAATGAAGAGTTACAGAAATAACGAACAATACACGCACAAGTCAACACTATTGAAAGAGAAGAAAATGCATTCACACTCATGGTCACACACTTACATAGTGACACACACATGCACAGGGACATACACACACACACACACACATAAGATAATAATAATAGTACACGCATCATACCATAAAGTACTATAAACACAACACAATGATATAATAGGTACTATTACAGTCATTATACGGTGATAATTATGATGATAGACAGTTTAACAGTCATCATACATTAAATCACACATTGATGTAATAGACATATTTACACTCCTCAAACTACATTATCATATACTAGTATAGACAGTAATACACTTCTCGTACTAAGCAATCATACAAAATTGTAATAAACAGTATTACAAGCATCATCAGTATGAATTATACAGCATTATTATAGACAGTATTACTGTTACACAAGTCTTACAATACAATCATACATTGAATAGAACCAGTTGCAAGAAGTCAGACAATATAGTCATACAGTGGTGTGAAATACACAACATATGACATAGTAATGAACTAAACAAACAGAACAACCATGCAATGATTTCAGTTGTAGTAATACATATCACAAGATTAATTCATACAATACAAACATCTTATGAATGGTAATAAGGTGCACTAATCATGCAGCCTAATTGTGCAATGTTATAACAGGAAAGACGTAGGAAATGCTTGCCTACTAATATGAATACAAGCATATATGTATTTCATGTATTAATCTTGCTGAAGCGTGAGGTACACACACTGTAAATTGGTAGTCACATACATATCTCTTATTATACAACATTCAATTATCTAAGGATAAATTACATAATACCACTGTGTTGAAGAATTTTAGTAATAATAACAATGGATTTTATTCTAAAGTCCTCCAGTTAATATGGAGATAAATCATAGTTGAAAATACCACCAAGAAGAACATGAAGTAGATGGTAATTAGACATTACATTAAGATAAAATACGAAATCTAGAACTTTTACAGTACTGAGTACACACCAGAGCTATTACGTGAACAGCTCTGGTGTGTACTCAGTACTGTGAGCATTCAAGTACACTATGCGTAATAGTATCTTTGTGCATAGAACCACAGTAATGACACAAATATATATTTTCATTATCGCGCATTTCACCACAAAGTTTAACAACTTTCATAAAACTTGGACTGTATTGTGGAAAACGTAAAGCAAGTTTCCATATAGCATACGGTTGTATCTTACTATTTAAAAGAGTGAAGCGAGAGAAGTCCCTATCAGCGTTCATTCTTTCTCATAGATTAAACTGTTCATAGTTTCATACATGGTCATTGACTAAACGCTTTCATTGACATTTGTTTTGAAATACACCACTCTTCAAAAATTCATCAATAACATGAGACAAATGGTATTTTTGTAAAATATTAACAATGTCGGGAACAAAACCTCTACTAAATTGAGATAGGTTGAATTCGAATAGACGCTTGATAAGAATTTCGCGTATTAAACAGCCAACTTCCATGGTACATGTTCTACCAAGAAATAACATTTTCTTAACGCTGATGAAATTTCTACAGAAAACCAACCAATCAAGGACGTGCCCATATCTGTTCTTGTTCTTTCATTTAAACCTTGGATTGATTTGACAATGAAGTTTTGTGCTTTTTCTAACATGCATTTTTTGTGTTGCTTTAATTGCCACAATTCACACCCATACAGTGCTGAGGGATATACTTTACACTTAACAATTTTTGCAGTGGTTAAAGGATTTAGAGCACAAGGATGTGCTCCAGAACGAATTAAGGACATAACACCAATCTTTAATTTGGAATAAGCACGTTATGTACTTCATTGTTATTTCTACTATTCAATAAAACGCCGACATGAGATATACTTTATACAATTGGTAGGTTCATTCCATATATAGTTATATCACAATAAACACTGGGTTTCTTTTTAGAAATAAAACCAATCATTTTAGATTTGATAGAGGAAAATGTTAATCTCCACTTTCTACTGTATGTCTCTCAAATAGATAGTAGATACTGTAAACTATTAACGTTATTGCTGATAATACATATGTCATCAGCTTGTGTAGGTATATTTAATCGCGAGGAAATAACTATTGCCCCTTTCCCGCTAAATTTCGCATCATTTAGCAAAGCATTAATGAAGACTAAATACAGTTTTGCGGATAAAGACCAACCTTGTAAGATTCATTTTGATGCTATGCTTTTGCAATTCCTTCCTCGATAGAAACATTGGCCGTGGATATGTTCCAAAATCAACGTTAATATTTTTTGTTTAAGTATTTTGTTTTCAAATAACCAAACTTAGATTTCAGTGACAATGGTCATGATACTATTTAACACATCGATACTTCAATCTGTCAATATTCATGGCTATCAATTCGGTGCATACGACTAAAACGACTACTTAAAGATACTTGGAAGCAAATGCTAGTAACTGACTTCTATTGAAGAAGCTGCTGATACTGTGATAAATTCAAAGTTCCGTTATGGGTTAATCGGTAAATAAAGGTCAACAAAATATGTCCAAGCTATTCAATTTTTGAATTGGTATCTATTGTTCCCCAGACGACTACTTTTGAAAGTATCAGTTTAACTTTGTTTACACTGTATAGTGAGGGTTTGTTAATTTTTAGAAGGTTTAAAATATATTTCTAACGTGTATAATACAAGCGGCACGTATACTCGCCTTTTATCATTAATAATGCTGACACAATATTATCGTATGGGTCTATGGAATATCCGATGATGAGATCATTATTTAATATTTTTTGTTTGCAACATGAATAAAAACATCAGTAAGAAAGAGTACACACACAAAGCTGCCACACATGGTTTTGTTTATTCCTTGGTTGAGAAATGCTGTAATCGCGATGACTGTTATGCATTTTCCGTAGTCAAAAAGCAGTGGGTTTTTTCCTCACAAGTAAACGTCTACCAGGCCAATTAAAGTGGCCGTGGGAACACTCTCACATGATTAACTGTTGGGATTTCCAACAATCATAATGCGCACATGCGTTCGTAAAAATAACCTCATTAAAATAAAACAAATAGAATAACCACCTTCCGATTGAATGGAATCGTCCGGAAAACCAGAAACGGTATAGAGAATGCAGGAAGTATACCCTTATACTGTTGTGAAAATAAGACAGTTACAACACATACACAATGTACAGATCTATAAATCGAATTTAATCTTATCTCTTATTTCAATTACATTAAGTATTTAGAGAAAATAATTTAATTACAAAATGCAAATCAGAACTTTGGTTTCTGTTATCAATTTTCGTTTTCTCGCGAAAGTGAGGGGCCGCTATGTGTAACGTTGATGGTGGTGTAATAAATCAAGAGTACAAACAAAAACTAGTATATAACATTTGTTGTTTTATTTTGGTTATCACTTCAGGTTTTGATGAAATGAATACAAATATTACGGGGAAACCTTAGATACGTCCCATATCTTAACCTTTTGTTGCTGCATCGGTCTAGTTATTTTATCTTTTGGTGCCACAGACTCAAATTTTCAAAAGTTTCCCTTCGCTTTGTTTACAGCCGCAGATTTCCTGTTCAAATGCAAACGAAGCGACACCAGTCATTTGTTCTTTTAGAATATCTTTGCAACATACACTTAGGTCAAAACTTAACTATACAATTGTTAATATTTCGTTGTTAACAAATCTTACTAAAAGATAGTTGTGAAGAAATGAAAAATGTGAAATTTAGAAAAACTTGTTTTGATAATTAATTTTGACGATCTAGGAACGTTCTTGAAATAGCCAGCAAAGCATTTATTCATGCGGGCCACTGTGAATAAGTTCTTTTTATTGTTTTATTTTTGTCTTTCTTTGAACGCTCAATCAAATTCTAGGCTCGAAAACATATAAACAAACCCACAGTTTTCAGTTCGTCGTTTTTTACTTCCGTTAGTCTGATTGTTCACATGTGATCCACAGTCCTTGGTAATTTCAACAGTTTCCAGTCGAAATGAGTTCGAAATCGCGCTTGCTTCCGAATCGCGCAGAACCGATGACACGAGGATAAATCATCAATAAACAAAGACACCATCCGAAATTAATAACGATACCTAAACGCAGCGAAGGAGTATGAGGAGTCCGATACAACACAAGAAAGAAAATGGATAATTCCTTACAAAACATTTTAGATAATTTCCGTAACGTTTATGAAAGGAGTATTTATTATTTTAATTTTTGGTCAGGGAAAGTCATCTATAATAGATTAACGTATTCATGTTCAACTGGCTGGAGCTATGATCACCTACTGTATAACTGGCTGGAGCTATGATCACCTACTGTATAACTGGCTGGAGCTATGATCACCTACTGTATAACTGGCTGGAGCTATGATCACCTACTGTATAACTGGCTGGAGCTATGATCACCTACTGTATAACTGGCTGGAGCTATGATCACCTACTGTATAACTGGCTGGAGCTATGATCACCTACTGTATAACTGGCTGGAGCTATGATCACCTACTGTATAACTGGCTGGAGCTATGATCACCTACTGTATAACTGGCTGGAGCTATGATCACCTACTGTATAACTGGCTGGAGCTATGATCACCTACTGTATAACTGGCTGGAGCTATGATCACCTACTGTATAACTGGCTGGAGCTATGATCACCTACTGTATAACTGGCTGGAGCTATGATCACCTACTGTATAACTGGCTGGAGCTATGATCACCTACTGTATAACT